GGGGGGGGGGGGGGGAATGTGTCTAATATTAACTCTACTATTTTACCTTGCAATAAATCTGTGATATAATCCTTCCCGGATTTTCGTTTACCACTGAAGATTAAAATCAGTTTTGGCAGCTCGGACATATTTTCGCATGAATTCAGTCTGAAATTCCAGATTAAATAACACTTGTTCTCCTCTTGTTATTAATCTCCAGATTAATTTACCGATCGGGATTGAGGGTATCCAATTTTAAAGTTTTCAGCTCTGGGCATACTGTTTAAAAATTAAATATCATTTATTGAGAAAATTCCTTCCGTCCGGTCTATTATTTATAAAATTCAGATAACTATCAAGGAGAATTTCATTCAAATTTTCAAAATGGATTCACCAAAACTTTGGTAATTCCCAAGTTAGCCAGTTTTTAGGTAAGTACTTCTTAAATCTGTCTGTTTTCATTCAAGTTCTTGACGAATCAGAGCGAGAATGCTCCGTACTACATAATTAACTTGAAGAAGACGACATAAAATATCCTTAATGGTGTCACATCGATTGCACTAGTAATCGAATAAACTATCGTCCACTTGGACAAATTTTCATATAGGTCGTCTTTGCTCTTATTCTTTGTGGGGTAACTCTGCTGTACATAAAATTCTTATGCTCAACATTTAATTGGCAAAAATCTTACTTATTTTCACGTATTATCATATCAAGTGTTTTTTTCAAAACTTAGTTTCTCCATATACGTATATTTAAAATAACGTGTTTAATTTTTACTGCAGGTAATTTTTCAGTTTAAAATATTTATTTCAGGGATTTTTACGTATTCTTCGATTTTTTCTTCACTTCAAAAATTGTATTTTTTTGAAAAAAATTATTAATATTTTTTATTGCACATAAAAACAAGATTTAAAAAATGCTGTTCTGTATGGTGGAGGCTCGTTCACTGCATAGCGGAGGCACGGTCTGCATAGCGGAGGCTCGGTCTGCCTAGGAAATCTGGGAGGCTTGTGTCTGCATAGAGGAGGCTCATGACGTCCGTGGGTTCCTTCCCTCATGTCACCCACCTGGGAGATTAGTCCTGGTTTTTCCAGGTGACGGTGAGTTTACGCCTGGTATATTCTTGTTCCCAGAGGGAGTTGAGAGAGGTTTAAGACGATTTTCCACCTGGAGATTTGGTGTTGAACCGGAGCTTCTGGGTTGATTTCATCCCCATAACATTCTGTGAACCCTAGGTTAACATGTTTTAGGATGATCCTCAAGAGAGGTCCAAGGATTAGGGGTCGATTATTGAGTTTGTCGATGACCATACGAGTCCAGGTGAAGAGTTCTACGTTGTTCATCTTTAGATGGTTGGGGCCCGGAGACAGACTTGCTGATGGTGTTCTTGATTGAAGGAATTACTCACTCCACTGCTCCAATTCCGGCGTGGTGCTTGGGGAGGGTGACCATGAATTCGATAGACTTGAACTTGATGTTGAGGCTGGAGATAACCTTCAATACAGTGTTGATCAAGTTCTTGCCTGCCTTGACAATATTAAACCCTGAGTCGATCCAGATGATGCGTGGGGTGACTCTCAGTGCAACTGTTCTTCTGTAACCCCTGGTGATACTCTGGGAACTGTAGTTCTGAAGGATCTCTAGGTGCACCCTGCGAATGGAGAGACAGAGCACACACATCCATCTTTAGAGTTGAACTCCGTTTTGATGGGCCAGTAAGGGTCAGAAGATGTCTGCCTGACAAAGGGAGGACATTGGGGACGACAGCCTCGGAAGAAGCGAAAGGTTTCTTGTTCAGCCTGATGCAGCCAGAGCAGGATTTCTTCATGTCGGTGATCATCTTAAAATTGCAGTATTCAACAATTACTGCATTTTTAAGATTTGTTTTAAAGATTTGCTTGTTTTTCAGACCCTAATAAATTCCATAATATGTTTAAAATTCTAAAAAAATTAAAATATGAACTCAACGGAACAAACTTCAAACGGTCACGTCCTTAATTTGAGTGCTACATACCATTGATATCTTTCGCTCGGAAATGTTCCAAAGATTTCAAAATGTACACTTTTTTAAAACTTGAACCATTGTGAGTGCTACAATGTCTTAGAAATCGTTTTTAAGAAACACCCTGTAGCTGTTATAATATCTGTTTCAATAAGATATTTATAATTAAAATGTTGGAAAAATACAACCTGAAAAATGATTGAAACAAAAATTTACCTCTGTGCCAAATCTATCTTCATATTTTTAAAAGTAACAAAGTGAGAATGGATTATAAAGCTTTGTGAGCTACATAGCTTTCAACAATAAGAAGTGATGTTTCGTATTTCTAAGATTGAAATACTTACTATAAATTAATTATACACAACTTGTACAATGTACAGTGTACACATGCGCCAAAAATCAAGGTTTATGTACAGTGATAACCAGAAAGCTCTGATAAAGGAAGATAACTTTTAGAATCAAGTTGTATCTTTAAAGTCCAATTTGTGACATGTGCGAAAATGGAAAACCTTGAATTGTTTCTAAAGTGGTATGGATTTGTATTAAAAAAGAACGACTTCTTAAAAGTTTAAATTTCAGAAAAGAAATAAATAGTGTTATATTTAGTTCAAGTTGTGCTTAATAATATGTTGGAAATAGTTCTTTTTAAATAATAATTGCATTCGGCACAGGGAGAGTAACTAATACGCTGATAATCATATTTGTGCTCAAACCTGACACTCAGTGTCAGGTTGCGAACATAAGCACGGTTTGGAACTTTCTTCCCCTGTAATATGTACTTAAGTTCTACTTCAGACACAAAAAATTACATATTCCTTCCTCTAGATATATTGACTGAAGTAGACTATACCAAACTAATTTATTTATTTATACAACGGCTACAACGACATTTAAAATTTATTTTTTGACTTTTGGTTTCCTCAGTATTTTGGGTTCATGGGGTAGATTGAATCCAACCATCTATAGTATCACCCATATTCAACATTATTCTAAATTTTTTTTAAAACATTAAAAAATATAAAATAAAGTTTAAGAATTTTAAAACACATTGCACAAAATACTTAAAAAGAAGTTTTAATACCCAAAAATAAAAATTTCCCCCTCCCCGCCTCAAAAAATATCTCAAGATTAGTTTTTTAGTTGATATGTGAAATTTCCTTAGCAGTTTGTGACACGGTTCTCTCTCCTCTAGCATGATATTCATCATTCAGTATTTTCCAGTTTCTCTGAGATTCTAAATCACAGATCTGTATTAATGTCAGCCAAAATTTCTTATAATGTAATAATGTTTTATTGCAGGATATCTATTATTACATTATTTCAGTCATGATTCAAGACAATTTCAATTTCAATTAAATTAAAATTAGAGGCCTATTGTCATTTCATTTACTAGCTGAAGCACCAGGCGTTGCCCATTGGCCGTTGTTACCCCAAGGGTAACAATGTCAGCCCATTCGGTCCAGTCGTTTGGCCGGCTATAGGGAACATAAATACGAATGTCTTGTTTTATTATATAGATTTAGTAATTGTGCTTTTTTATTTTAAAACATTAATTAGAAAATGCAATTTTAGTAGTCCGCACTGATAGAATATTTGCCATTAATGTCTTAAATTGTTTTATGCTTGTTCCGTTGATTGGGGGAAACCTTTTTTCTTCTTATAAAGTTTAAATTTGAAACTGCGTTTTCTGTTACTTTCCCTTCCTTGGTTGAATATATACTTTGCTCGTTTGACTGTCTGTGTATTTGTCTGTTTGTATCCAATAGAAGTCAAATCGGCCATATTTTAAAAGATACGCCAATTCGAATATGAAAATCCTTCAAAATTTAAGAATAATTTAAAGTGGCTAACTCTAAGAAAAAACATTTAAAAGCTAAGCGCCTTAAAATCCTGGTGGTTATATAATTTACGACTTAACATGCTAATAAATAAGCTGAGAGAAAGCCAAGTTACCTAGATATGTTTTGTATGTATCCACCATGTACTGCATTTCTTGTTGTTGTTTACAAAGTAGCTCCTGAGTAGTTGAGTGTTTTCTAAACTAAAAAATTCCATTTTCTAAAATTAAATTAAATTTTGAATTTTATACTGATTGTGTGAACGCAGTCTAAAGTTACAATTCAGAAAGAAAGCGTGTCCTTTAATACGTATGTCATTGGCCTTGAGGCCATTTTCGGTCGGACCTAACATGCTTTAATTGGCATAGACTTTTTAGTTAATCAAGATATCAATATAAATTAAGCACCATATTTTTTACTAGTTCCTGTAAGATTAAATTTTACTAGAAGATTTTTGTATGCAAAGAAATTTTATTTATTCTTTTTGACCTCGATTTTTTTTTATGAGGCCATTCTCCAATTTTCGCAAAACTTTTAAAGAGATTCCTTGAAATGTATATAATGATTATGCAAGTTTCAAATTTGCATTTACTTGTAAGAGCTAGAGATTTTAAACCATTTTTAGTCTAATTTGTAAGAAACATTACAGAAAACTATAGCTAAATAAGATCACATATTTGCAATGACAAGAGTTAATTTTTATTTTCCCAACGTGTTAGTACTACTAAACAACTAATTAGTTTATTGTAGAGTTTTTTTTAACATGATCAAAATCATCCCTTTAGAATTAAAAATCCAAGATGATTTTGAAGATTGAATTTGCGCCGAATTCGGGCCGAAAACTGCCTCAAATCCTAAACTTTAGGAGGCCATAACTCAGCAAGCAGAGGTCAAAAAGCCTGAAATTTGGATTTAATGTGTTCTCAGCTTCTCATATTATGATAGCTGTGTACAAAATTCAAGGAAAATCCAAGATATTGAATAGACATCTATAATTTCCAAAAATTGGCTGAGTTCACTAGGGAAAAGATAAATTGATTGTGAGATAAGTATCAAATACAAGGAATTTGTGAAAAGTAAAATTTGCTAAATCCCTCCCCTGAAAAAAAATCTCAAAACTATGTTAATATTTCAGCAAAATTTCTCCTAACATTTAGCTCTCAGGTTTCCGTTTTACATGGATTGATACTCCAATATTTAAGAAGGGCCCAAAATCTAATCCAGGAAATTACAGACCAGTGTCTTCGACTTCAATCCCATGTAAGCTTTTAGAGTCCATTATTAAAGATTAAGTAGCCCAGCACTTTCATGATAATTGTCTGATTAATAGCTCACAGCACAGATTCATGAGTAGAAGATCTTGCCTTAATAATCTATTAGTTTTTTGAGAGGGTCACCAAGGAACTTGATGCTGGAAACGACATGGATATTGTATATTTAGATTTTGCCAAAGCCTTCAATAGTTTCCAATACTAAACTCTTAAATAAACTAAAATTAAAAGGAATTCAAGAAGACATCTTAAAAAGGAAATGTAGTTGGCTTTCAAATAAAAAACAATGAGTTGTTTTTGTAAATCTCTACAAGACCTATGTGCGACTCCACCTAGATTTTTGCACAGCAGCCTGGTCACCCTGGACCGAGGCTGACTCAATATGTTTGGAACTTGTTGAAAAGAGAAAGAGAAGTTCGAATGATATCTGGACTTACCGAAAAAAATATATATGGAGCTGAACTTGAAGAAATACATGAGCAGGCCGACATGATTCATACATTTAAAATAATGGATTCAGTGATGTCAACCCTGCAACATGGTTTAGAAAGATCAACCACAACAGAGTGACAAGAATGGCTAATGATCCGTTGAACTTATAAGTATAAAACTCCGAAACCAGTATCAGAAACAATTTCTTCAGCTTGAGAGTTCCAAGAAAATGGAACTCTATCCCACAAGAAGTTAAACAGTCTACTACAGTAAATATCTTCAAAAGAAGCTATAAAAATTCAGACAGTATCCGTGAAATGCTGATGCAAGATTACCAGTTACAAAGTCTATCAGAACTATCATCAGCAACTTCAAGTCTTCAAAGACAGCCTCATTATAACTCTACATGGGTTTCTGAGAATTATTCAACAATAACAAAATGTTTTCCCACAGTGCATAAAGTAACCATAAAGGTTCAATAAATAATAAAATTAATTTATTGAAAATCTATAATATTGTACCACACAGTTGCTTGTTAATTTTTTCAATAAAATTCAAATTATTCATTAAAACCTTTTATCCACACTTCAGACTTTAAAAAATGCCTCATTAAATGAAAATATAAATTTGAACCCAAATCTATATTCTATTCTTAAATTGACATGATAAGGAGAAATTGTTAGTTGTTGAAAGAAATTTTTTTTTTGGTCTCCTTATTAGTTCGGTGAGAAGGAGCCCATTTAATCTTCAGTAAGCTAGCAACTCTTGGTGTGTTGAGTACAGCATGAATTCATCAAGAATTATACGAACATGTTTTCAGACATTGACTCTTATTTTGTTGATTTATCAGATGAGTTTTGCAATTGAAAAATACTTCTCGAACCCAACAGGAACACATAACATGATAAAAACCAATTATCAGGACTCAAATGTTCATAAAAAATATCATACTAACAGGGTTGGTAAAAGCCCGAGTTTTTACAAAAAAAATCAGCCCAGTAAGTTTTTTTTTGTTTATTTTGAGGCTTTATTGGGGTTTTCAATTTGAGAGTAGTTAAACCTACTAAAATTCATACTAATTCATAATAGACTATTTAAGCAATAGATGAACTTTATAGTTATGCAAAATAAAATTGATGTGATAATAGGCTATAATCATATGTAACTACTATTAAAATACAATAATATCACCTCCCTTATTCAAAGAAATTTTATATCCTTGATCTATTACAACAAATTTTAAGTTTTGAAAGCTCTGTGCATCTTATTGGGTTTTTCAATATCTTTGTTACTTGTTATTAACCCTGTATACCAAAATAAATCAAATAATCAACCCATCCACATTGGTAATTTTATTTTCTCAGAGAGTGTTATGCATTTGATCTTAGTTTTGATGGTTTCCCACACAGATATCAATAAAGTCACCCCATTTACCATTATGATTTGTCCAAAAGATCAATATGATTGGGGTCAGTCACAAAGCATGGGTTATCAATATAGATATCTTTTCCTTCTTGGCATGCTAAATGGAACTAATGGAAATCTAACTTGGGGAGGAATCAATAACCTGACATTTCAAGAATCTATAGAAACTCTTTACAATGTAAATCCCTTGAATGTCAGCGTTGATTCAATCAATTCAGTTTTACAAGACCGCTTTATCATACCCTATGGATACTGCAAGGAGCTAAAAAATTATGACATGAACAGATATATTACAATTACCACTAATGGAAATATTAGTGTTTTTATAACAGATCCTTTGAAAACAATATATTATAGAATATCAGAGTCCTCTATGATTGGAGATAAAATAGATCTTGTGGCCAAATCTACTTTGTATAATGATTTCTTAACATTCATTCTCTATGTCCATGAAACACATCTTTACAAAGATAAACCTGGTGAAGATTGCACTGACTATGGAGAAAATGACGAGTTCTTGAGCTACAATCACTGCAAACAAACAGAGCTAGAGGCAATGCTTATTCCTGATATAGGCTGTTTACCCCCATGGATGTCTCCAAGCTTCCAATGTGAGGGAAAGATCAGGCAGGGTATTTTTCATCATATCAACAAATAAGAATTTTTTTCATTTGAAAAAATATGAATAAGACCGTATCCATAAATATATCTGGTGTCAGAGTTGGAAATATAAAAAGCTTTCTTCGAAATTTAATGAAATTAAGCTAGGTCACTAAACTACTTACTGCCAATTAAAGTCCTTAATCACTGATTCAAAATTAAAGATACATGAGGATTTAAATCATTGGTTCAGAATTTGGACTGGTGTTAGGTAGTTCAGTGACCTTTCCAATTCATGTATCATTCGATCCCAGTTGTAATAAGGGTCCCTCTAAGATATTATCAATCCCATCTCTATTTAGACGTTCATATAGCAATCAAACATTTAAATTTTTGGACGAACTTCTGATGCAAGCTGAATGGACTCTAGATCACGAGTCGACAATTTGCAAACCTCCCTGTCTCCAGACCAGAATTAGATCAACTTTTCTTATCAACTCAAAGAGCATAAACCAAAATAGATCAGTTGAACTAATTTTCAGGCCAAGCGTAGAGGTAATATTTTTGCATGAAATACTAAAAATGTGGCAAATTAAATCAACAGAAGTGGTAGAATCTCCTTTGTTACATTTTTTTCAATGCCACCCTTAGAATAAGAAATTCTGAATTAAGTTAACTTTGAGATTTTTGGTGGGTGCATGAAAATACTTTCACACATTTAGGTATCTAAGAGCAGTCGAAGCTACGATGGATTTGATTTCATAGTTGAAGTTGGGAGTGCTCTAGGACTTTGGATAGGCATGTCTGCATTGAGCCTTTTTGATTTTCTTCTGAATACAATCAGAAAAGTATATACTAAACTTAACCGATGGAAATAATTGTGAACTGACTAAAAACAGTGTATGTTACTCACTATCTGTATCTTAGAAATTATAATGAAATACAAATTTAATGACAACGAAATTTGCATTGATGATAAAAAAAGGGAAGTACTAAGAGCCAGCTTATAGTTTACAAGTGGATCTACAGTTAAATAAATGCTGCTCATTTGGCAGCATATGTATGTGTATGAAAGAGGGAATATAACATTTTTATTATCATAATGTTTTATTGTAAAAATAACATTCAACTTGTGAAGTGTATACTTGTTTGTAAGAAAACATTTAAATGTTTTAATTTATATTTACCTCATTCATAATATAATTCATTCCTTGAGTTCCTTGGACTTTTCCAACCTTAAGAAAAATCACAATAAATTCAAAACAAATCACTAGTCTAATTGAATCCTTATCCAATCTGAAACCAATCTTCTATAATCTGAATTCAAATCCAATCAAATTAAATTCAATATAAATTTAGAAGCAATCTCCATAGTCCAAAACCAATTAACTTATTTTAACAAAACAAATCGAAATCAAAGTTCTTAACTAAATTCTAAATCTAAACCCTAACAAACACAAATTCAATCCGTTTTTATTCATTACACAAATCCAATTCCAATCAAGTCAATTCTGATCCAAATCTAAACCTTGTATCCAATCCAAGTGCAATAAACTGTTAATAAACTTCCTTTCCTTTAGAGGCATTACCACATTAAGAAATAATAATTTGGACTTTTTAAACTAGGATTCTAAAGATCTCAGCAGCGCGACCAAATTTGAACCGTGCAAGAATTCTGGAATGCCTACCATTTGCTTTTTGAAAGAGTCATTTTTGATACACACAAAATTGCAGCAACAAGGCCAAATTTAGTTTTGAGGTACCTAGCATTTATAAACTGTCAAAAGTTCCAAATTTATTCATTTAAAGTCAACCCATATTCTATCAGAAATATCACAAAAAAAAAATCAAAAGTTTTCTTTTTCTTACATTAGCTTGTCTTAGTTCTGATGCTATTCCTCTGAGCTGTTTTAAAGCTCCAGTTAAAGCCATTTTTCTGAAATACAATTTTTATATAAAAAGACGTACTAAACTTGTTTTGGGCATTTTATCAAGTTCCAATTCTAACAGATGCCAACATTTTGTTTCTGATAAATATTTCAATTATGAATGGTCTTGCGATATTTGTTGTGTTTATCAACTTTTATCACTAATATTTAACTTTGAAATTTTTTATAAGAAATTAGTTAATAACAGAGGCTCTGAACCAATACGTAATAGCTAGTTATTTACATTCTTAGTTTGATTCATCAATCATCATATATTTTTTAATCCATAAAACAAAAACAAAAACATATATCTAAAGAATGATTTAAATGGTGTAAATTAATTAGACAAAAAAAGCATCTTAGTTTAAAAGGGTTTTCGTTTTTATCTCAAAATATTTTGACAAAATAGGGTTTGAAAACTATTTTTTTGTAGTAATTACATTATTTGAATAAAACACATACAGGTTTACCCACAAAGGTTGACTGTAAAGACGACCTCAAACTTATAAAATATAACGATTACAAGATTGCCTTGAATAGTGTCTTTTTATGCCCTTCAAACTTTTTGGTAAAAAATTAAGCCCGATTATCATTTCGTGTTTTAGGTGCTTTAATTCTTAAGTCTTTAAGGGTTCTATTTGTCTAAAAGTCTTCTAAAACTCAACCCACTAAAGATTAAACCTAAGTTTTTTAGCGTTTAGATTTTAGGGAAAACTTTAAAATTATCAAAATTTATTGGCATTGCAACGAAAGAAACCAATTTTCAGTTGCAGTGAATCCTAAATATAAGTAAATACAGTACAACTTCTGTACAATCGTCTTTAAAGTCTCATCCTTTATGGGTAACCCTGTACAACCGTAGAAAATTTTGTTACATTTTTACTGAGAAATTTAGTGACTTTGTACACAAAGATTGGATTATATGTACAATGTACATTATATAATTTGGAACATTTGTTTACATTTTGCTATGATGTATGAAGATTGAAGACGACCCAAGAAATGATTTTATTGTTAAAAATACCAAAAATTGTAAACAAGGTTTAGATTAAGATGTGGGTCAGAACAAATACTGGTTACTAAACAGACGAACAAGTACATTACGTGGCTATTCAATTTTTAAGAAATTCTGTATGACGTCATTGGTGTCAAATGCGACACAAGCGGCACTTAACGTAGAACAAATTTTAAAGAAAAGAAAGAATATTTAAAATTACACTAATTCCAGTGTAAACTTGAATACTTTCGTCGAAATATGTCCATTCTCCATTGCCCTCTTATTGTACTTGACAGTCTATTTGCCAGTCACTAGATGTTGTTTGTTTACGATAAAACTAGTTCTTAAGTTTTTCTAATACATCACAGCAGAATATATACCAATCTAATAACCTCTCCTTAATTCCATACCTCAGTAATTTGTAGCACATGAAGAGTATAGCTGTAGATAAAAAATTCAGTGTGTAATTATTTTGATTTCAATTTTTAAAAAAATATAAGTATTTACACAAAAAATTATATCTTATACGAACAGATTATCATGTTCAGTGTACATAACAATTTGCACATTTGTACATTACAGTTTGTACATGTGTCATTTGTACAACTCTTAAAATCTTCATATTGCCAAGGTGTCCTTGAGTAGTCTTCTAACAGTATTTATTCCTACACTGGGAGTCGAAGGACTGGATGTTGAGTGGCAGGCCTACAACAAGAATTTAGTGAACATTGAACATGTAAATACTTCATTAAAAAAATTGAATAAGTGAGACTTAAACGTACACAGATGCTAATTTCTCATCTCCAACTATAATCTTCTAATCCCATAAACTTTGTAACCTGACTGTGAATCTTCGATTTATCATAATTTGACTTTTTTATCTGACAGCATTCTTAGTTTAAAATATAAAAAATCTCAGGCATCAAGTTCAACAGATTAGGTATCATAAATAATAGATGAAAATAAAAAATTCCTTTTACCTTAAAAAGATATGGCTGTACGTCATGAAAACTTGTATCAAACACGAGTTCTAGGTCGGACTGATTTGGCATCTTTGGAAGAAACTCATGCTTATTCATAACCTTCAACAAAAGTAGGTAAAAGAAAATTCCGTCCCCCCCCCCTGCTATGTGTTTATCTTCACATAGAAGAGTCTAGACCCCCTGCCTCCATTACAAATTCTTTGGCACAAAAATGGGACGTCATGTTTTTTTATTTAAGTATGTTTTTCAAGAATTCCAAAGAATAATAAATGGGCTATGCCTTTTGATCAAAAGTTTGTTAATTTCTATATTCTTTATAAAAAATCAACCATCGGTATTTATTTATTATCTTCAAAGCTGCAAATATGGACAAAAAATACCTTTTATTTATATGTAAAAGAACACAAAAATTGTTCTGTTGAAAAATACATGGCTTAGATCATAAGTCATAAAACTCAAAATAATTAGTATTATATTAATATACGATGCAAATGATATAAATAATTAGTCCTTGAACTGCGGTTAGAGGGAAAATAATAAATAGGGGGGGGGGCGTGGATTAGTGCCCCTTCCCCTTAGGCCTTCGCAAGTACATTTTCCATGTAAACTGTTTATGGATTTAGACCTTCATCTATATATTGTATTTAAGAAACCCACTTCCTGGATAACATCCTTATTAATTTTAATAATCCCTGACGTACGGTTCTATGTTTAACATTTTACCTCTGTAATGTACAACGTCTTTTCCGAGAGAACTTCGCCCAGTTTTTCCCGCCATCTGATTCTTTCATATTCATTTTGTAGGGTGACCAACTCCACTCTTATAGTCCAAACCTGGAACAAATAGTTTCCTGTTATCATGTGGAATAGGTTGGTTCGTTTTTTAGAGTTTGAGGGTTTTGCCTTTTGGACTTTAAAAGGTTCAAAACAAGTCGTAGAAATTATACAAATTTTAGAATTGCTTATTCTAAATGTGTTTTTTTTGTTTCAGCAACACAAATATATATTTTTTTTAAACTTGCTAAACGATCGTTTTTTCCTCATAGGGTAAAAATGTTTCAAAGCTTAATAAAAGCAAACTTCTATTAGAGTACAGCTTTGAAATGTTGGAAGTTTTATTAAAAGTTTTAAAAAAAAGAACAAAAAGGTTTTATTGTAAACAAACAGCAATTATAAACAAGATAGAATAATACCAATATCTTCCTTATTATCAATTAGAAATGGGATTAAAAGGTACTGCTCTGAATCTGTCTACTGGACGTCAATAGTCCTTTTAAACAAAAAATTGCAGAAATGAAAGAACAAACCTCCCAAGGAATATTCTCTGGAGGAAAGGGCCACCTTGTTCTCTTTCTTTGATAGAACTCGAGGGATATCTGACCAGACCTAACAAATAATATCCATCAATCAACCAATCATACTTTTAGGGACGCCCTACCATGATTGCACTAAGCTCTAAAAATCCTCTGTTGCGATAAGCGCTCTGAATTTTATCAGAAGTATTTACCTGAGTCCATGTGTGTTCTTTAAATCTTCAGCAAAGGATAAAACTTCACGTCTGATCAATGAGTCTAGTCCTGGAGATGAGGTCCTGAAAATAAAATTATTATTTTCCAAAATTGAGATGATGAAGCTAAAGGAACTGGCTTCTTGTCACAAACTGTGAAATTTAACCCTTCTTTCTTTACAATCTGATGTCGTAAACCTTTGATAATCCATACTACGAATTCTGCTATCATGATATAGTCAAAGTTTGAAGTATCAAAGATTTACGCCATCATGTTGAAAATATTAAGGGTTTAGAAACGTGTGATCTATAACATGATACATAGTATACCTGACATATGTGTGATCTATGACAGCATAGTATACCTGACATATGTGTGATCTATGACAGCATGGTATACCTGACATATGTGTGATCTATGACAGCATGGTATACCTGACATATGTGTGATCTATGGCAGCATGGTATACCTGACATATGTGTGATCTATGGCATGACAGTCGACGTCCTGATAGCCAACAGTTCCTATACTGTAAGAACTCTCAACTTGATAGCTAAACTTTCCTAGGGCTCTGAAATTTTTTTTATCAGTATATATGGAAGAAAATTTTATTATAGTACAACTAAAATCTAGCTTTTTAGAAGCTAGCTAAGAAGATAGATTGACATATAGAAGTAGGACCCTACATTTAGAATAGAGAAACCTACTTTTAGAAGATAAGAACCTAAATAGAGAAAATAGGAACCTAAATATAGAAGATAGTAACCTACATATAGAAGATAGGAGCCTAAATATAGAAGACAGGAACAAACATATAGAAGTTAGGAACCTAAATATAAAAGATAGGAACCTACATACAGAAGATAGGAATCAACCTTTAGAAAAACAGGAACCTACATATAGAAGATAGGAACTTACAAATACAAGATTGAAATCTACTAATACAAGATAGGAACCTACCTTCAGAAGATAGGAACCAGGAACTTACCTTAAGAAGATAGGAACCAGGAATCTACCTTAAAAGATAGGAACCTTCCTTTAGAAAATAAGAACCTACATATAGAAGATAGGAACCCACATAGAGAAGATAGGAACCTACATATTCAAGATAGGAATCTACATATACAAGATAGGAACCTACATATTCAAGATAAGAATTTACATTCTACATATGCAAGATAGGAACCTACATATACAAGATAGGAACCTTCATATACAAGATAGGAACCTACATATACAGGATAGGAACCCACATATACAAGAAAAGAACCTACATTTACAAGATAGGAACCTACATATAGAAGATAGGAACCCACAAATAGAAGATAGGGACCAGGAACCTACCTTCTGAAAATAGGAACCTACCTTTAAAAATATGCACCTACATATAGAAGAAAGGAATCCAAATATAGAAGATAGAAACCTATATATAGAAGAGTACAAGAACTTATATAAAGAAGATAGGAACCTTCATATATAGAAGATAAGAACCTACCTATGGAAAAGAATTGGATGGAAAAGCGCTAAAACTGCATCTTCCACTTGACAGGACTCAACTGCCAACTCAAAAATATGAGATCTAGCGTTCATTTTTACTCAATTCAGCTGGATCATAAAAAGTTGATGGACCTGTGGAACATTTCATCAATTTGTAATGTAAAAATCACTCAATGTTTTAGTATTAATAAGGAAATCACTTCTGCTATTTCATATTTTTTTCTGAAATAGAATGTTTAACAGTTAATAAAATCTTAAATTAACATATTGTAAAAAATGTATAAAAATCTATGGCACCAATCTTAAATAAGTTCACAGAAAAAAATCATAATAAAATAAAGAAATTAGTTTTGTGATCACAGTGAATAGTTTCAAGATTAATTGGCTAAATCGAACCAAAGGTGTATTTTTTTCTACTTAAATACAAAAATTCAACAAAAGGAATTGCTTCTAACGTTTTAAGCACTTGCTTAGTCTTCAGTGCTTTGTCACATATAACTCAATTTAGGTCATAACATTAAATGAATACAATCAAACAAATAATAATAATATTTTTAAAACATAAAACTTTTACCAATACTAATAATAATGATAACAACTAATTTTTAGGAGTAAGTGCCTTTTAAAATAAAACGTTTTCCATTTGGATATTAGAGTTCATTTTCTAAGTTTTTAAATCTCGACCATCTAAAATAACTTTTAAATGACGAAAGACAATTCATGACTTTTTATATTTTTCTAGTTTGCGGCAGTCATTAAAATAAACCTAATTTAGGAAGTATTTTTCTATGAACCAATAATCATAGAATACTGAGATATTAAGAATTTGGTTTAAATTTCAACCATGAAAATGTCTAATTCTGAACAAATTAATTCATGTCTCCGTTAAATTTGAAAGCCAAAAAATTATCAAATGGCAATGCCTGATTGACAACGGTATTCTTATAAGCTTTATTTGATCGATTATGAATTAGAATTAGAATTATGAATTTTTGGTTTCTAACACTGTTTAGTGTTTATTTTCAATTGGGTATTCTCTACAAAAGTGACTTGCGCATTTCTACTGCAGGAAAACATTTATCATAATTTAAAACACTTTTAAACCAAGGGTAAAGTTGTTTATCTGGCATTGTCATCTTTGCATGAAGGGTCACTTAAAATTTCGCTTACAGGATGACAAGCATTATTTAATCTCAAGATTAAGAAAAAGAGTGGATCAAGCATTAATCCCGATATCCACCATTCAAAAGTTCCCAGCTCAGTTAAGCTTAGCCCGATATCCAACACGAAAGATTCTGCTTCAGGTGAATTACCAATTACCATCCTTCCAACAAATTTTCGGCATAATTTGATACATCTTCGATCTGCTCCAACCTAGAGAAGAATCACAAATCTATATTTATATAAATATCTATTTTTATCTTTTATTCCATCAAGTAAAGGTTTTAACAAAATGGCCTAAAATTCATGACAGTGACATGTATTTGTCCAGATTATAAAAATGACTTAGATGTTATAATCTAGACTCTAGAGTGAAAAGGGGGGGATACATATTGCAGAACATAAATCATAAAAGATGGCCCGTTACGTCACATCACGTCACGTCACGTCACGTCACGAGATTCAAGTGACCCTCTGTGCAAAGATGACAATGCCCGATTTACAACGGTACCCTTAAAAGTTTTGTCTGATTAAGTATGAATTAGATTTTAATGCTAATCATTTTGAAAACTGATTATTTTTTTTCAAAGTGACCAGCACATTTCTACGGCTGGAAAACAAATAGAAATGTTAAGTATCACTTTTAAACCTAGAAAAAAGAAAATATCCTTCACATTTTTTATTATATAAGATTTCAAGGACACCGTTGTGAATCGGCCATTGCCATCTTTGCATGAAGGGTCAATAGTCAATACACTTACGTTTACAGTCCCTTTAAGTAAAGTTCCTACCTGGACACAGTCTCATCGCCACTGCTGTGATGTATTTCAAAGGAGACTAAATCTAAAAATATAATTTTCTTAAAAATAAAATTTTTTTGAGAGAACTTTATTTTTTTTTGAAAATTAAACTGGTCATCATAAAAATAGTTTGTTTTCCTAACAACTTTGCGCAGCTAGAAAAAAATACTTTAATTTGTTTTCATATTTTTTTAACTTTCGGAGAAAACCGTAAATTCATTTGAATTGTTATAAAAAAGGGCAATTATAAAAAGGTTCAGAATTTCTTCAGGAGTGTATTTGACATCTTAACTTTAGTTTCCAGGATTTGTATTTCAATTTTTATTTCAATTTGTATTTCAATTTTTATTTCAACAATAACACTGACAGTAATAACTAGAATGGCTATCTCAAACATACTCGAGAAAAAATTACCGAAAAAGTTAACAATTTAATCCTGTTAATTTTCCTTGTGCAATGTGCATGCTTTTTGAATTACTAAAAAATATCAAAAACTTTCTTAAAATATTCAATTTTACGAAACATTGGGATCTTTTTAAATTTTTGAAAAGCAGACTGGCCGCCTTTAAGAGTATGGTGGTAGATCAAAGATTGATTTAAGTTCAAACCAGCCTTAACTGCAAACCATAAAGAAACTATTCTAGTTGAAACAAAAGAGAAATTACCGTTTTTAAGTTCATTAAAGCATCGTAAATATGTGTCACTGTCTTATTCATATTTTAAAAAAGTTTACACGCAAGAGACGTATCTTAAAATCAAATTAATAACAAAAAAGTATAAAAAATTAATCATATTGAATAATGATAAAACTCAATTACCTGATTGAGAGGTAGAATGTTCATCATTTATCATTAAACCTATTTATAACATAAAATTACTTTATAACAACATTTTTTGTTTATCAACTACGTTTTATTAAAAGCACTTGGTGATGATATTTTGTTAATTTTATTTTAATATTTAGTCCTCAAAATAATAATCTATAACTTGCCTTCAAAATCTGGGATGTCTTGGGACTGGCTGATCAGAGTCAAGGGAATTGAATAGTTAGACTCTTGGGTTCCTTGAAGTTGAAGAATTGTGCTGGCAACTGATTGAGGGTTTGATCCAGGTTGACCTGACTGCTGCTGACCAGCCTGCAGAGGCGGAGGAAGATTTGACATAGAATTTGGATTTATCTTAAAGAAATTTTCAGCTCTAAGTCCTGATCTAAAAATAAATTAGTTCATGATATGGATGTTTGAAAGCAGTGCTTAGGGTCCGAATCCGCAATATTTTGGTTCCCTGGATCTGGAACTGAATCAGCAAAAATATGCGGATCCAATGGGCAAAAACTCAACAATGTGAACTTAAAAAAAATGCTTGCTCTTAAAAAACAAATCTCAATTGTTAAGCAATACAAAATTTTTTTTAAAAAACATCAAGATCTCTGAATAGTTCAATAAATCTTGAAAAAATGTTTAGAACCTGGATCCGGATCCATTAATTTCAGGATCCAGGATCTAGATCCTGATCTGCATTAAAATGAATTGGATCCTTAGCACTGTTTTGAATAAGTATTTTTTTACATGTCAAACTTGATTTATTTCATGTGACAATGTAATAAAATAAAGAACATTAGAAACTAGTTTTATTTTTTAGATTTATACCTATTTACGGTTGGATCTTGATTCCTGTTATCAGCGCCACCCATTGTTTGTCTTTCCACGCCACCTATAGAAGGACCGTCAGCGCCACCTTTTGTTTGTGTTTCCGCGCCACCTAAAGCTGACCTTCCCGCTACCCCTATAGATGGACCATGAGCGCCACCAAGCGGCCCATTTATAGAATCATAGTGTTTCTGCAGTTGCCACGAGGTAAGACTGCTCTTCAGTTTAAGAAAAACTTCTTCCATTTCAGGTCTTTCTTTTCGTTTATCCCTTGTACACCGTAAACCATATTCAAACAATATCTAGAAATTATAATATGAATAGTAATATTAGATAACATGGGAAAAAGTATTCTGATGGGATGGAAGGGTTTCTTTATCAAATTTCAAATATGTCAACATAATCAATTATCTAACTTTTTAGGAGTTTTATCAACGATTACCGAAGAAACCCTTGAAATTTCCAATGGCAAACGATTAAAAATGTAAACTTTAACACAATTTTTTAAAGAATTAAAATTGGATGTATCTCTTCCTTTTTTTGGTCATCTCCTCATGGGGGGAATTTACAAGAAGCCTTAACAAAAGTCATGGCAACGTAGAAAGAAAAATGAAAGTCATCCATCCTTAACTTAACAGCAGATTAAAAGCAAATCGTTGATGGTAGGCTTAAACTAAAGGATTATCTAAAATGATGTCAACCTTTTAACTTAAATATCATTATCTGAAATCTACCTTTACTATATTATGCGAGTTCTCAACATCTATCGGAATTACGGGATCAACAAAATTCCAAATGTTTACGTCCTCAGATTTGAGGAGGTCAATCAGGTAGGGTTGACCTCGACTAGGTCGACTGTTTGGAGGTTTACCAGTGATCAGGTCGAACAGGATGACCCCAAAACTGTATGTATCAACCTGAAATATAAAATNCCCACCCGTTTACAAATTTAACAAACCTTTGTATTAAGCTGTCTATCTGCTATATATTCATGAGGAAGGTAGAATTGGGTTCCTGATATGCTTGAAACCAGCACCTTGCTTTGGTCTACACCTATCTCCCGAGCCAGACCAAAATCTCCGATTTTAGGCTCCATATTGAGATCCATCAGAATATTACCGGGTTTAATGTCTCCATGGACTAATCTGCTTGGACCGTTAAACTTGCTGTGAAGGAACTGTAATCCGTTTGCGGTTCCCTTGGCTATCTCGTAGCGCTGTGACCAGGACAATGGAGGAGTTCCGTTCTTTCGCTTTAATCTATAAAATGGTACCTTTAAAGGCCTTATCAAGAATGAATAAGATATCCAGGTTTACAATTTTCCAGTTAAATTATTTCAATGTGGATGACTTGTATAATTTTTTCTTTACACAACTTAAGGAAATTATACAAAAAAATAAAAAAAATTTCGGGCCGTAAAACGACGACAAATTCGAGAATATTCATTAATTGATTAAATCAATAATTTAGAGTCTCACCTATCATCTAAGGATCCATTAACCATGAACTGAGTAACAATACAAGGATCATCTAGCTGATCACAGTAGGCTATTATGGGGATAATATACTGAGATTTCTTCTGGTTTAGAAACATGATTTCCTGAATATCAATTAATGTAAGAGCATTGCCTGAGCTGGGATTTAATAAACAAGAGAAGTAGTTCAACTGTATCTTCTTAGTTTAACTACCTTTAAGTGCCGAAGAGATTTATTAAGCTCATTCAGAGCTGGAAACTCTTGTATTGTGGATATCGAGATCAATGCTTAATCTCCTTTTTTTGTTAATCTACAGATTTTATACAGGAAAGTGTCTAAATTTCACGAATCAGAATGTAGTTTGCAGAAACCGGACCGCCAATCAGAGGCCGGGAAATTTTGAGGGCAACCAATGAGAGCACTCTCATTGGTCGGAATCCAGGAAGAACTCTTATTGGTCGGAATCCAGGAGGGATATCCAAGAGACAGGATTAAACAGAAAATAAAAAGTGTCACAGAGGATATAGAGATTCAGCGAACAGTATTAAGGGAATCCAATACAAGAGGTTCCAGTTCAGTTCAACTAATTCTGTCGCTAGTCATTGTCCAATTTGGATGATTTGCATGACTAAAAAAACTGAATAACAAAAGAAAATGCGGGAAAGGTGAAATATAATACTTAATGATAAAAAAGATTATCAATCCAGATAATTTGATGGTACCTGAAAACTTTGTTGAATTATTTTCTGAATTTGGGTGTTGGCTTTTAAGCTTAAATCTCGCCTTAAAAATTGTAATACGAACATTAAATTTTATTTAATCTTTTTTTTCTCGCTAAAACACAAATTTAAATATTTAACTGTTTGAGCATGGCGTATGCTATGTATTTGGTAACGTAACATTCGACCCAACATTACTCAAAGTTTATCAGAATAACAAAAAAATTCTTTGTCATGTTTTTACAGATATTAATTTAATACAGAGATCCGAAAACCTTTTAGCGTTCAATCTCATCTCAAACCTTCAATCATGGTTGTCTCGATAAATAATCCAAGTATAAATAAAAAGAAGTTCTGCAGAAAATTCTATGTATTTTTGAAACAGAATCAAGATGACAAATGTTTTTTCAATGGTGGTATTTTATAAAGAGGTTTGTGATAAAAGGGATCGTGATGGCGTACCCCAGTTGGATCAAGAAGTCCACGGGTATTCCATAGCTTCTTGAATTGAAGGGGGCAAAATTTATTTGGGAAATTTCAAATTTTACATTTTGGTAATAACCACTAGAGAATTTTTTATATTAAGAATTAGCCACTTGTGAAATCTAACATTTGGGAAGAATTTTACATTGGGGAGGTTGCCACTTGGGAAAAATGACAAATAGAAAGTTGTCACCGACTTGGGAAATTTTACAATTGGAAAGTTGCCAAATGTGGGGAAAAAATTGACACATGGGAAGTTGCCATTTGGGATCTTAAGAAAATTGAAATGTGATAGGTCAATCTCAAGGAATAATAATTTTCTTAAAACAATAATAATAGTCTCAAAAGTAAAAATGTGCAAGTATCTTTTTTCCATATCATGATCTGAGTTCGTTTCACTTTTGTCCAGTGTTTTTGTTTGTTTATTTACTTTCTTGTGGTTTAAACAAAATTATTTTTGATTTTGATGGTTATTATATCATTAGAACTGACGAGGGTCAACCCAGACAGAAACATATTTTCAATAAAATGTGGAACTAAAATCTACTTCATTTAATCTACAGAGGTTTGGTCCATCACCATTCACCATCACCAAACTTAAAATGCGATAGGTTCTCATTTGGGAAAATTAACATATGGGTAGTTGCAACTTGGGAAAATGCTATAAAAAATTTCCGGTAGGGACAGTCCTTTAAGGAAATACCTTATACGTTTGATAGCAACCTCTTGATGGAGCCATTCTCCTTTGAAAACCTCGCCGTAACCACCATTTCCGATATTGTTACTCATGTCCCAGTTATTTGTAGCTTTCGCTAATAAAACATCCATTTTGATCTTTCAATAAAGGCTTTAAAAAAGAAGCTATATTTACAAATAGAAAATAATTTTTTTTTCAAATACACAAAAACTGCAGAAAGAGAGAATCATAAATTTGGACCGGAAATGGTTATTTGCAGCTCATATTGATCACGAAATATCATTGATTGATAATATTTAAAATATTTTAGCCGGAATTGGTAAAATAACAGAAAATCTGAAATTGTATATTTTTAATTAGGTAAAAAGCGGTCATTTCAATCGACTGTGATCTTTTAAAATACAGCGTTACCCAGTAGAAACAAAGGATGAGACTTAAAGGACTATGGTACGGAATTTTTAAATGTCTATTTTCTTATCTTTAAGAGTCCATTATTAGTTTCTTTGCTAAAACATTTAATAAGCCTTTAGATTAGTTTATCTTAGACAAAACTCTTATTTTACCCTGGGAATAGTCCTATTTAAACAGTAGTCGTCTTTCTGGACGTCTTTACAGTCTCATCCATTTTTGGGAAACCCTGTATGCATAAAACAAATGTTGCCTCCCTAAATCATGAATTGAAAGATTTGGAACACTGTACACACTGGAACTGCCTTGTGTGCTCAAGGAACTGTGGGAACCCGTTGAAGAGTTCCGAGTTCGGTTAGGATGGAAAACCTAGATATTTTTGACATAAGAAACATGAGAAAATTAAAACTGCAAGTGACCCCAATGTGGACTCCCGGACCGTCGCCAGGTGTGGGACCAAGAGGTCAAGTGACCAAGAGGTCAATTAATCAAGAGGTCAAGTGACCAAGAGGTCAAGTGACCAAGAGGTCAAGTGACCAAGAGGTCAAGTGACCAAGAGGTCAAGTGACCAAGAGGTCAAGTAACCAAGAGGTCAAGTGACCAAGAGGTCTAGTGACCAAGAGGTCTAGTGACCAAGAGGTCAAGTGACCAAGAGATCAATTGACAAAGAGGTCAAGTGACTAAGAGGTCAAGTGATTAAGAGGTCAAGTGACCAAGAGGTCATGAGATCAAGAGGTCAAGTGATCAAGAGGTCTAGTGACTAAGAGGTCAAGTAACTAAGAGGTCAAGTAACCAAGAGGTCAAGTGCCCAAATGATCGATTCTCAAGTTGGCATATTATGTATTAAAAGTTAATTTGGCTCGAAATCAAAGAACTCATGATTTTATTGACATAATGAAAAATATGCAAAATTTATTCGTATTTCAGAGGTCTTGTCTGTGTAAAACTCATGTACCTAATTGGGGGGGCTAGTGGACGGCAAGTGTACCTGATTAAGGGGGCTAGTGGACGGCAAGTATTGCTGATTAGGGCTAGTGGACGGCAAGTGTACCTAATTAGGGGGGCTAGTGGACGGAAGCGTACCTAATTAGGGGGGCTAGTGGACGGCAAGTGTACCTAATTAGGGGGCTAGTGGCCGGCAAGTGTACCTGATTAGGGGGATAGTGGACGGCAAGTGTACCTGATTAGGGGGGCTAGTGGACGGTAAGTGTACCTGATTAGGGGGCTCAGTTTCATTTGCCATAATATGTTTGCCATAAATATTTTTGCCATAATTACATTTGCAATAAGTATGTGTAATTATGGCCAGTGTAACCATTATGGCAAGTGTAACTTATGGCAAATGTGACTTATGTCAAGTGTAACTTTTGGCAAGTGTTACTTATGGTAAAAGTATTATGTCAAGTGTAATTATGGCAAAAATATTATGGCAAATGAAACTGAGCCATTAGGGGGGCTAGTGGCCGTCAAATGTACCTGATTAGGGGGGCTAGTGGCCGGCAAGAATTGCTGATTGGAAGGACTGTTTGAACCAAGAAGAAGTGGGGATCCAGCAATAGGAGATCCATGAATAGGAGTAGGAGAACCAGGGTTATAGAAGGGTATCTGGTGTACGCTGGGGTTCATGGAGTACACATCCCTTCTCTCTCTTCCTCCCTGCCCAGGGTTCATCACAGGTTGAGTAATATTCATACTTCGGGTTGTATCCGGTGTATCGTAATCAACTAAAAACAAAGCATATTACATCTATTAAGTGTCTTTTAAAGTAATTATAAGAGACCCTCCATTAAAAAATGACTTCAACATTCTTAATATCCTCTGATGCCAAAATTCTAATTATTTCCCATATTCTGGGTTTATAGTCGGGAACTTTGTCTATATTTTTTTGCAAAACAGTTTAATGCGAAATTGTCGCATGTTTTTTTTCGCGCGAAATTCTGCATCGTTTTTCTTTCTTACGCAAAAATAATTTTTACGAAAATTTGAAATATCGTGAAAAAGCTCGAGAATACAAAAGAAAATGTTCGCGAAATTTCGCATTTTTTCGCAAAAGTTTTCTTTAGCTGGAAACCCTGATCATTAATGGTTGCCGGTTTCTAAAATGATACTCATGGTTTTCTGAATAAAAGATGAGCAGGAAAATGGTTTTAATGAGAAATACAACTATATCTCTATTCAGATGGAACTAATATGAATTTCTGAAGGAACACTTAAAGTGCGTCTTTAATAATAAAAAAAAAGATAAATAAGAGATCAACCATCATTCCATCAAAATCAAGTCCGAGACCCCTTCAAAAATAATCCCCAAAGAAAGGACGGAAAGTGATGTAACAGTTGATTAATGACACTAGTCTAGTGTGAATCAATATGTTCAGGTGAAGGCCAGTGATCAAAGCCTCCTTGGCACTGCACACTAACATGCCCATGCTCGACCAAGTATAAAATAACCCACCTGGGGACATCTTAATCGGATTTGTGTAAACTTTAGAAACTGGTTCTGGATAATTAGTCTGTACTGCAGGAGTATTGTTGGCGAGGACTGGACCAAATCTTAAACATAAATGGGTATTCTATATATATACTTTGCTTGTCTGTCTGTCCGTTTGTATCCAATTAACATCAAAACGGTTAATTCGATCCTACCCACCTCGAGTATATATGGCAACTATAATGTTTAAGGATACTCATTGCTCAAAATTACAAAAAGGAATTGAGTCTTTGCCACAAACTCTGATTTTCTAATCACTATTTCTTTGGAACCAAATGTTTCAGCCCTTAGACATTTCAAGCTGTGAATTCTGTTAGATCAAATAATCTGAGTTTGAAATATCAAAGGTTTACATTATCGAGTTCTAAAGATATTGAGGTTTAAATATTTGATTCTATTCCAAAGACTCAATTCTTTTGTCTAAAAAATCCACGAAAAAAAGTAAAATATGGACACTATAAACAGCACAGGGGTTCGGTAATATAACATTAGGAAAATATTAAATAAAAATTGAGGACGAAAGTCATGTTATACACGTCAAAACGACCTTTTCCCAATTTATTTTATAAAAAAAAAATAAGCAACTGTCATATCAATTCTTCTATTGAAATGATTGGAATAATTTTCTATTCAGTTTAAGCATAAAATTTTTAATTAATCTCAATCCAATGATTAGACCTGATGAGACGATGGTGCTCCTTCTTGACATAGTTCTTGAGGAGGTCCATGCCGCGGTACAGTTGGATCTTGTGAAAATGGAAGAAGATATCCTGGATTTGTAAATTCCTAGATCCTAAATTTTTGTTGAACAACTAAAAGGGTAATGATATCAATAATAATAAGAACAATAAGAAAATAATAACAACAAACTATAATTATACTTCGCTTGTCTGTTGGTTTGTTTGTTTATTTGAATCCAATAAACGTCAAAACGACTGAACCAATTTTTTTATGGGAACTCACATGACATAAGGGAATTTGGGAAGGTTTAAGAATGATGGAAAATTTTGCACGGAAAAAAACTTCGAAATTAATTTTTTTTAAATGCGCAAGTTGAAAAAGAAAAATGGCAGCTCCAAGAGCAACGGTTAACATCTGAACTTTATACAAGAGAAGAGGCCTGAAACCCTATTTAGTTAACAATACAAAAATTAATAACAATAATAAAAATATCCTACCTAGGTACTGCAAAAGGGCTTTTGCAGGAGATTCCCCAGGAATATAGGAGAACTTCCTAACGGAACAGATTATTGTTCATACAATTAAAAAAAAATTGCACAAGAAAAACATTACACATAAATCAGCTTTAATGCTTAAAGTGCATTAATTAAAGTTTATTAGTATTATAATTAGCAATCAATCTACAGACGAATTACTATTCCACAAAAATGATCAAACAAAATGATTTCTGATTAAAATGTTCCCTAAATTTTTCCACTTCCATGATAGAACAGTTACAAACTGATGCCAGAGCCTGATATCAACTCAAGTCAGTTAGGTCAATGTTAGACAATAAAAAAGAACAGAAATGCAAGGAATGAATGTTCCTATAAGTATAAAAAGTATAAAATAAGGGGGGGGGGGGGGGGGAGGAGGTAAAACAATATCAGTAGTTGACAAAATAATGAAGTTTCAAAAACCGAATCAGCAAGTAAAAACCAACTTCTAAACTAATTCAACATTTGAAAACCGACTAGACCTTCCTGCCAATTTTCACAGATATTGAGTAAATCTTCTATTTCTTGGTATTCACCAACTGGAAGCTAAAATAAAGAAGAAACATTGTAAAACAGTTTCTTAGAAAACTGGTGACCATTTAAGGTGTGAAATATCCTAATTTGAGTATAAATTTTCAGTCCTATTCTTAATAAACCCGGAAAATTTCAATTGAGACTTTAAGGTCGTCTTCGACCTTTGAAATAGTTTAAGGCATTTTTTAAATTTAGTAATAGCTTTTTTTACAAAAAACATTATTCACAAAATAGCCTTAGTTCTAGCATTTCAAAAATGTAGTCTGTCAAAATACCTGAGATATTAAGATTCATTAAATAAAACCACGTGAATGTCTAATTCTGAACAAATTCATTCATATCTATTATGAAATAAAAAAATAAGGGCTATTTATTGATTTTTTGATAAAAAATTATTGCTAATATTAAATTGCCAACCCATGATAAATGTTGCTAACTATTTTTAAAGTCAAAGACGACTTTGTAGTCTTCAATCAATTAAAAAATTCCGGTTTATTTAGAACAGGACTGTATAGTATTGAATAATTGGTTGGCTTACGTCATAAATGAATTTAGGAACTTTAACTTTTCTCTCTTTCTCCCCAGACAATGAAAACATCGTGATCTGAAAAATTGGAAAATTTAAGCTTTTTTCTTTCTAGGTAAAAATGTACATCTTTAGCATACTTAACACATATTATAGTAATTATTGATTAAACGATTAGATTTGATCTCAAGTACTGCACAAACATTGAGGATAACTTTGGAACGTCCTAAAACAAAACAAAAAATATAAATTACGAAGAAAAAAGACAGAAGACAGAAGACAGAAGACAGAAGACAGAAGACAGAAGACAGAGGACAGAAGACAGCAGTCAGGAAACAGAGGACAGAAGACGCAGGACAGAAGAGACAGGGCGGAAGACACAGGACAGCAACAGAAGACAGAGGACGGCGCTACGACATCTGCTCTATTTCCATTTGCTCTATGGTCATTTGCTCTAGTTCCATTTGCTCTATTAACCATTTACTCTATAGCTCATAGATCACGACGTTTGTTCTATATGTCATCTGCTCATTACGTCAATTGATCTATGACAACGCGTCATTTGCTCTATAAACATTTTTATGACTGTGCTGGTCCAATTGCTCTACCCAACATTTGCTCTATGAGTAAACACGTCATTTGCTCTATAAACATATTTATATAAATATCTAATCATATTAAAACAATATTTTTACAATTTTACATTTTACAATTCTTCCTACAGTTTCAATATTCCGCCTGGTTGTTTGTCTGCTATTTGTGCCTATTGTGAGACCAAGTTAAATATTAACATTTCCTTGTTCTTTGAGTATTGTTTCCTAGCAGAACCAGGAGCAAGAGGATCTACAACATTTACCCTAGCGTCATGAACTTTTTGATGCACCAGACATCAATGACTTCATCCGCCGGCACAAATACAAGTGACGTCATTAATGTGACGAGCTGCTGGAATGGATAGTGATTTTTAATCACTGATTTTTTGTCGCTAAGTTTGATACTTTTTATACCTTATTTAGAGACAATTTATCGTCAATTTACGGATTTTTTCTCTTTTATATTTTCAGATTTTTAATACGTAAGTAAGGGACAAAAAGTCTGTAACTAAAGGATTATTTGTCGCAGATTATTAACATTTTGATCTTAAGGATACAGTGCACCCTGTTTGTTTAGAGTAGAATAAATATAGTTTTCACCACATATTAGGTTTTTTTTACCCCTCTTATTATTGAGCAGTCTCGCTGTCATGACGGACTTTGAAGAACTGATGAAAAGTGCAATTTGCGAATTTTCAAAAAAAAAATTCCCGCATTTCATAGTCAAGTTACGCTCAGGAATTCCAATAAAAGCTATTTTATAGTGTATTTTTATGTTATAGAGCAAATGACGTGTTTAGTCATAGAGTAGATTGAATATAGAGCAAATGACGTATAGAACAAATGACGTATAGAACAAATGACGTATTGAGCAAATGACTTGATAGAGCAAATGGAACTAGAGCAAATGACAATAGAGCAAATGGAAATAGAGCAGATGTCGTAGCGGCCAGAGGACAGAAGACACAACAGGCCATAAAACACATACAGAAGACAAATAACAGAAGACACAGGAAAAAAAGACAAAGGGAAAAAAGAAAACAAGGATCAAAAGATAAAATACAAACGAGACATCAAACAAAAAACAAGAAAAATAAACAATATGACATACTCCCCGGACTTGAGAAGACAGAAAAAAAGAGAACGGGATGAAGGGGAGCAGGATTGAATGAGGGGTTACCTGTATAGCCCTTTCCTTAGCATATGTAATGAATTGTCTTTTAGTTCGAGCGAGCTCGGACAGGGTGAACGACCTTAAAGGAAATATATTTTTTTGGTATAGTGTTAGGTTGACGGATGAAAGACGGAGATTATCTTAGACGACGAAATGTAAAAACATTATCTTAGCTGGATGCAACATTGATAGCGCCTAAATCAAATTTTGCAATGGAAACAAGAAAACGGTGGAATGAATGTCGTCTTTGTCCAGCTTTTTACTTTAGAAACGTCGCCGAGGAGGTTAATTCCAAATGCTGCAACAGATATATATCTCTAAAAATGGTCTGTGCACTTTTAAGAAATATTTTTTCAGAATTACAAAAAAAAATCACCCCCCCCCCCCTTCATCTCCATAATAGGAATGTTGTTTTTAGGGGTTTAATCAAGTAATTGGCTTTCACGGGCGCCCTAAATCATGTAACAATTTTCGCTCTTAACCGCATTAGAGGCCCTATATGAGACCATTGATGTTTTTTATCAATTTAATTAATGCTAATATTAACATACAAATGTTGATGTTAATTAATATTAACGTATAAATGTTACAGGTTAATGTTATTGTTAATCTACCTAGAAAGTATGAGGGTTTCCTTGGTATTAGGAAATGAAATTTCTTCACCAGGCCCTGAATAAAAAAGTACTTTAAAGGGACAGTTATGGAATTTTGAAAGAACCACTCCGTAAAAATGTCAAGAATTCAAAATCAGTTAAAAGAAGACTAATGAAGCCGGAAAAAGTTTCATCAATTAGTTAAACAAACCAAGAACTGAGTAAATTAAAGGGAATATAGTATCTATGTATAATTTTAAAAACTGATTATTTTCAAATGTGGTTTTCAACTGCATGAACTTATATAGGAATCATCAGAATTCCACACTTTAAAACCTAACAAAATCAACATCATCCAAATTATTGCTTGGAAAAAGGTTTCAAGGGTACAGAAGTAAATCGGACATTTTCATTTTTTGCATGGGGGAGGGTTACTTGAAATACGCTTACAGTCCCTTTAAATCAGCGCAACAAATAAGGTTACCTGAAAGCTTTAGAGATTCCAGAATCCGACTTATAATTTCTTGCGTCTGTCTGTCTAACTAAGAACAGTATACAGATTTATTTTCTTTCTTTTAGATATGTTTTTTTAAATGTTTTTTAATGAGAAATTCATAATGTCCAGCGAGAGAAAGAAAAAACAGGATTTTTATAAAGCCAATATTTCAGCGAATTTGCAGGGTAGTTTTTCAAACTTTTTTATTCATTTTATGTTATGGAAGGATAGGCTCTTCAGCTTATCCTGAAATTAACAGAATTACATCATATCATATTTGNTTATATATACCCTCTGTATCTAGCTCTGTATCCTAGATAAAAACATTTATATATACCCTCTGTATCCCAGATATAGATTTATATATACCCTCTGTATCCAGCCCTGCATTCTGAATATAAACAAATTTTTATTTGTTAAAAGGGATTGATTGCGAGATAAGTTATTTTCTAATCTTTTTTTTAAAACGTTTTTGTTAAGAGAGTTATTTGACAAAAAAAACCAAAAGAACTGTAGATGTAATTTTTAGTTAACCCTAAACCTAACAGAGGAGGGAAGCAAGGAAAGGCTTTAAAATGTAATTTTGATTACCCTGCTACATTTCAAACTTTTAAAGGAACTGTTAATGTAATTTCAAGTGATCCTCAGTTGATAAAATGACATGTCCGATTAAAATGGTACCTTAAAAGCTTTGTCTAAATAAATATGAATTAGATATCCATGTTGTTGTTTTAGAAAACAAGTTATTTTGATATGCAATTTCTCTACAATGGCGACTTGCGCATTTTATGCTCCAGAAATAATGGTGAAATTATCAAAATTTAACACTTTTTGTGTGAGAAAAACAACTTTCTTGCACATTATTGATCAGTTTCAGATTTCCAAGGTATCGTAGTGAATAGGGCATATTTAATTTTATATACATTTCTAAAAATACTTGTATTTAACCCCCTGTAGAGAAGATCCAAGTGTTAATTCAAGAGGAAGGGAGAAGGATGGTTAGGTAGAAAAAGATAGGATAGAGAGAGAGATAACTGAAAGGTCTTTGAATAGCTCAAAATCCTACTTGGATATTTTACGAGGTCTAAGTGAGGTATTCACTCGCGAAACATTAATGAAAGGTATTGGAGGATATGATGTTTGCTAATGAATTAAATAATATCTAAACATTGGAGTGAATCATTTCTTGAATTTTGTTTAATCAAGTATTTCTGAATGTTTGTGATTATACAAACGAATAATTAATATTCATCAATCGAGCTCCGTGCACTAAGATCCTAGATAATGTTATGACTTTGCCTTTAAAACTCTATAACCCTAGATGAAAATTTGCAACGATAATTAAATCATAAATATTTTTAGTTTACACTTAATACTAATTCAAAATATATTTAATTTTGTTGACACAATAAGAGCTTAGCAAATATACAAAATTAAATTTTTATCCCTAATATGTTTTTATGTAGCTTCTTAAATTATTTCTCTAATATGTTATTAATGTATTCACAAATTACCTTATTAAATTGTTTCTGAAAGAGAAAAATTGTAAAAAAAAATTGTGCAGTAAGTATTTTGAAAAAATAAGAAAAGAATANTATAGGAATATATCGGAATCGGACTATTAAGGAAATTGTGGGCAAATGACAAAAATTTAAGGAAAAAATGGTTTCAAAGAAAATAAAATTGTTAAGTAAAATGGGCCTATGTACACTGCATTGTATACTAGCTGTTTCATGTTAATTGAATTTTCCAAAAACAAAACTTTGACCGAACGGTCGTCTTTTTTCCCAGTCCCACTTTAGTAGAAAAAATCTACCTTCAGAGCTAAGAATAATGGAGAATCCCATCTATTAGTGGATATAGGAGGCTCAAATCTTTGATACAAAGCATTTAGCACTGGTGTACTGTACTGCTCATGGTCAGGCCGTGAAAGGTTGAACTGTACAACATCAGGTAAACTAAAAAAGTATACATTATTTCCTTGAACTGTACGCATGTACAACTTTCTTTAGACTAAAGAAGCGTACAATGTACATGGTAATTTAATTAAAAGTAATAATAAAAATATAATATTATGAAATTTTGCTTTAATGCTAAGGATGAAAAATTTTTTTGGTTTTTTTTTAACAATTTATTATTTTTGTATCTTTAGTCTTTAAATTGGATACACTTGATGCAGACAAATTCTGATTTGATTCTTCTTCTTGTCATCGTTTCTCTCCTTCCTTTCTTCTTTTCCTTCTGTTGACTGTCCCTGATTCTGATAATTTTGAAAGAAAATAAAAATTTGTCGAAACCAGAATGTATTTAGGACACTCTGCTTCATTGAAGTTGTAGTTATTTTCAGTTTTGTTGTCTAACTCAAGAATGCCTGAATTGACAAGCTGACTAAAGTTTAATGCAGTACTGATTCAGCTTTAACAAATAATTTTGATATATTTTCTGAATGGAGTTGAAATGGAGAGCCAAATGTAAAAAATTGATGGTGTTGAGCTTATCATCGTAGAGTTCCCTACCATTTATCCTGTTCGATTTTCTTTTTTCTTTTTGTTTCTTGTTTGTATGTTTCTGCAATTTTACTTTGAGTTCCATCCTGGTTACACCTTGTGGTCTTAAAAATAGAGCATGCAGCATTTGTCCACTAAGAAATCATTTCCAAATGCTGTTTGTGACAAATATGTAGGGTTGAGGTGTAGGAATTGGAAGTTTGGATAGATCAGGAAGAGAGGGTATCAAGGGACTCCCATAGCAGAGAAAATCCCTATTTTCCTCCGTTTTTTAGTGTTTCCAACTCTGCGGAATTTAAAGTTTTTTTTCCCATTGGAGTTGCACCACATAACAAAATGGGGAGTTGTTTTTTCTAGTTTCTGTCGAGCTGTATTATATTTTTTTTTTTGTTTTTAAGGTGTGGTGCTGCCATGGTTATTTTGCACAGTGCTCCCCAGCGGAGCCTCTCTCTGGCTACTTAGAAGGGAGCACTTAATTTCTATGTCCTAACTGTTCCGATCCCAACTCTCAATTTTCTGGATTTAGATTTGGTTTCATTCCTATCTACAGAGGAACCAAACCAAGTATTTAAATATTCCACTTTTCCCTGAAAATATGCATTCCATACTTTATATAATTAACACTTACCTAACATCACAGTGCACAGTAACCTGGGTCGTTTTTCCAGCCTTACTAGCACAATACAGCTCATATCGGAACCCTAGACAGTACAGTACAGTAGTTGAACCTTTACAGCAAAGTACACTACACAAGTTAGACACCCTTTACAGTACTCTGTAAGAAACCCTAAACAGTACAGTACAGTGCACAAGTTAGAAACTCTTTACAGTACTCTGTTAGGAACCCTAAACAGTACAGTACAGTACATAAGTATAAAACCCTTTTCAGTACTCTTTTATGAAGCCTTAACAGTACAAAACATTACAGTACACAAGTGAAACTCTTTACAGTATTTTGTTGGTAACCCTTTACAGTACTGTGCAGTACAGTACACAAGGTAGAAACCCTTGAAAATACTCTTTAAGGATGGCTATACAGTACAGAAAAGTACAGTACACAAGTAAGATACCCTTTACAGTAATCTATGTGTGGAAGCCCGAACAGTACAGTACAATACATTACACTAGTTAGAAACTCTGTCCAGTACTTAAAGTTAGGAACCCTTAACAGTACACTACACGTTTTGGAAACCCTATACAGTTGTTGACCATAAACCTATCCCCTAATCTTTATCAGCCCCAAATCAAAACCAAACAATTTCATCGACTCTACCCCTCTACCTCGACAATGAAAATTGAAACAGTGAAACCTTTTACTAAGTGAAAGATCAAATCCATAAATAACTTTGCAATCCATAGTAAATTCCACTTTAAAATCTGGGTTTATATTTTCATAAGTGTTTACAAATGTTTTCAACTATTCCATCAAACCCTCAAATCCTTAATCACTCCTCTAGTTTTCTTTTCTTTTTGCTAATTCTATACGGATTCAAAGATTATGAAGTTTTAAAAATCGCCTAGTATTTTTTTTAAATTTTAATTTAAAAAATAAATATATTGAAATTAAAAAAAAAATAATAATAAAGGGAGAGGGTTAATTAATCTACTAACTTACCTTTAATGTAGTTTAAACCATCACATATCACAGTCTTGTCTTTGTTCAGTAATCTAGCACACATCAGTTCAATAAATAAGCATTAATATTTTTGAAGAAAGAGTCAAGGTGGAAGGGAGAAAAAGTGGGTTTCAAAAACTGGTCTAGTTTACTTTTATATAAAATGGGCATGGGACGTAGGTTTGCGGAGGGGGTGATAGATAAAACTCCAAAATTGATCATGTGGCCGCAGCGCCGGCCCCCTAGCCTGTCCTAGCTGCGGCGCTCGGCCCCCTAGCCTGTGCTAGTCGCAGCACTCGATCCCCTACCCCATCCTAGCCACAGCGCTCGGCCCAGAAATTGTCTTAACCTAACCTAACCCTCAATAATAGGAATTTTATCTATCCCCCCTACGCAAACCTACGTCCCAAGCCTATAAAATGGAATGATCCTTGAAAGTTATGTCAAAAACCGTGAACACGAGGATTACGCGGATTTTTCAATGGTCTTGATTTTGAATGTTGGGTAGAATAAATAAATAAAAAAAATGAACTTCAGTTGGGAATTACAAGTTTTTTTTTACAAAAAAGTTATTATTCTATGAATACATATTGGGATCTAATGAGCTAATGCAAAAAAAAAATCAATAATAATCACAAGTTTACGCATGTAGATGGAAAATGTAGATTTCACGTTAAAAAAATGAGAAAAAATAAAAAATAAACAGACTTGCAGGTTCCAAGATTCAAAGTTTAGGAATCTTGGCAAATGTGTATTTCGGTACTCCCTGTATTCAATAATGAATTCTACTGACCTAATGACCTCTGATTTGAGTCGTCCCCTGACCTCTTTCTCTAGGATTGAATCAGCATACACTTCATTCTTCTCTCCGCTTAGCAAACTAGCTACAGAGACAGGAAATAAAATAACTATTTGGTAAAAAAAGTAAAACTTATAAAGGTGATATAAAAAATCTAAAGTATCTAATCATTAAGAGATCACTAGCATGAAAATGAGACACTAGAAGCATTAAAGGGGCGCTCAATTGAAAGAAGGACATGTTCAATTCACAACACTATCTTTTAAACCAAATTGACTTTATGTGGAAGATAAAGTCGTTTTTCCTATGTATCTCTTGAAATGGCATGCCCTTTTATCAATGGAAAGTAAAATGAAATTACGTCTACAGTCCGTTCTCTTAAGAACTTCAATTATCAAAATTTCTTGGTCGTTTTAGTATACTCAATATTACTCCTCAAAAAGATACACTGTACACAGCTAAGAAATCTCTTTGGGAAGATTTTGAATTCTTGGAAACAAGTGTACAAAGAAAAATTTTATTTAACTTTCCAATGTTCTTAATATGTATCTGTTCCTTCTGTGACAACGACAGTTTCTTTTCCCTTCTCCGCTAAAGAAAGTTCCAGAAGTTTGGTAGCTTTGGTTTTCCCGCTAGATGGCGGGCCGGATATAATTATCAACGGCATTCTTCTTCTGAAAATATTTTAGATAAACTTTTATAACTGTGTGAATAGGTCAATACTTATGACTGCATAGAAGCATACAATTTGTCATTTCAACAAAAAAATTCATTCGTTTAAATTTTATTTTAAGGGTTGTCAGATATTCCCTCAAATCATCATTTGCCCCAAAAACAATTGTACGCTGAAAAAAAAACTAGGACTAGTAAAAAGTAACTTAGTCTAACCCCCAGGACTTATGAAGTAGTAAGATCAAATAATCCTGAAATATCATATTTTGTTTGCCGGTTAGTTAAATTAAATATGGCCATTAGCCAACTTTTATTGAAGCCGGACAATTATCGTTGAAGTTTTAGAAATCAGAAACCTTCATAACGTTAGCTTTGCAGAAATGTATAGTTGCTCTTACGTCAATAAATCTGAGCAGAATTATAAGATGAAACCTAATTCAATTATTAAATAATTACATTCATTCAACAAAATTTCATTTTACTGTTTTGACGTCCTCCCTTATTGTCTCAGTATGATGGTATAGAGCCTCTAACATGAACCAGGGTCAAGGGAGTTTAAATGATGTCAGCTCCTTCTGGTTTGAGGGGCCCCGGGGGACTAACAGGAGGGAGAGCTCCTAGAAGAATAATCCTTATTTTACTGCAAAACCTTTGTCTTAAATTTGAAAAACAGTTACCATACCTGTTCTTGGGGTGTCAGAAAATGGCAATCTTGGCGTGTTGTATCCAAGGACAGTGCTTGCAGATGGTCTGAATATGAATTTAAGAATATACACTTAAGATATCTTATGGGCAAAACATATATGCAACTTGTTATTTGTTAATCAATCAAAATTTTTAAAAATATATTCCTACAGGCGCGCATATCAGGCTAGGGGGCCTTAATGGGGAGGGGCATGCCCCTCCCTTAAGAAGACTTTCCATACCCCCTTTGGGGTGGGGGGCATAAAGTCCATCCTGTTTTGCAATTTAGCGATTCATGAATTCCCGGGATAGGGAAAGGGGGTTTATTAAGTATTTTTACACCACACAAAAACCAGACAATATTTTAGTTACCAAGGTAGTGGTATCAAGATGTGAGTACGTAGAAAAAAATCGACGATTTTTTACAAAGAGTATTTGGGATTTTTAAAATGATTTAAAACATCATGCCAAGTTTAAAACTAAGCAATACGCATTTAGCGAAAATGTTATCACCTTAATTAAAAAATGTTCAAAAATGGGCCAAATATTACGTTTTTTCTGGCTGCATGCGAAGTAGTGGATAAAAAAAGGTTGGGGATTTTACTAAATTTATTTTTATATCTATTCAAAAGAAAAAGTGCACCTCTGAACATCTTTACCGGGCCGGGGGCGTCACCTATGATTGAATAGTCCCCAAGGAAGGAGATATCTTTAAAGGTTTTAATTCAAATCCATTTTTACAAACTGACTTACAGATAAAATTAATAAATAATCAGTAATAGATTACCTTGCCGGGGGAGGACGCTTGTTTTCCAGAATTGTTTTTACATCATCAGAATCCAGGGTTTCATAGTGTATCAGAGCTTCAGCCAGCATATCTAACTCTTTCCTGAGACGAAATTTAATGAATATGAGCTGTCATTGAACCACTTTTTTCCCCGATTTAAAGTTAAAGATTAAGATCAAATTTTTTATCTGTTCTTACAAATTGTTTATCTGTTCTTACAAATTGTTTATCTGTTCTTACAAATTGTTTATCTGTTCTTACTAATTGTTTATCTGTTCTTAAAAATTGTTTATCTGTTCTTACAAAATGTTTATCTGTTCTTACAAATTGTTTATTTGTTCTTACAAATAATTTATCTGTTCTTACAAATTGTTAATCTGTTCTTACAAATTGTTTATCTGTTCTTACAAATTGTTTATCTGTTCTTACAAATTGTTAATCTGTTCTTAAAAATTGTTTATCTGATCTTACAAATTGTTTATCTGATCTTAAAAATTGTTTATCTGATCTTACAAATTGTTTATCTGTACTTACAAATTTGTTCTTACAAATTTCCAACCTGTGTGTTTTAAGTATCTGTGTAGCCCTCTTGTAGCTCTCATTCATCATCTTCGTGATTTCCAAATCCATGAGCTCTGTGGAGCCTGGAGCTAATTCATCCTTCTAAAAATAGTAGGATGATTTTATGTTCAAAGAAAAGGGTTGCTTAAAGGTAAATGTAATTTTAAGTAAACCTCCATGCAAAGATATCAATTCCTGATTTAAATTAGTACCCTTGTAACCTTAGTCTGATCAGAAAGATAATGTCGGACTCGACAAGAGATTAGGTCTGTGAATTTCTCAATTGTTTCTCATAAGCTAGAAATGAGCATATAATGTTCATTGTTCATACTTGATTAAACAAAGATTTTAAGGCTACCGTGTAAACTGTAAATCCAGAATTTCCATCTTATTATGAACGGTAACTTGAAATTAAGCTTTAAAGTTTAAACAAGACTTGAGCATTGAGCAATGATAAAGATGATTGTATCTATACCTGAACTACTCGGAGACCAATCTTCTCCGACATCCCAAGAGACTTCACCATATTCTCCGCAATATTAGTCGCGGACTGAAGATCTGAGCTAGCACCACCAGTTATCTTCTCCTTACCAAATATTAGTTCTTCTGCTGCACGACCTCCCATACCTACATCCATCCGGGCCAGTAGCTAATAAATAGGCTGGTTAATACAAGGTTCAAGTATGAGAATTTTCTATCAGAGTTCCAAGCATCCATTATTATTATTATTATTATCAAAAGACAACCCGTCGTTCAGTAAAGTTGGGACCGGCGCTCCTGTCCACCGAGCGTATCCATGGACAATGCCCCACATTGATTGGAAGAAGACTAATTGTTGGACGGTCTGCCCCAAACAGCCCATTTCTGGGACTATTCAGCATTTTACATGAACAGTTTGAGTCCTTTAAAAATTTCTTTAACATTAACCTTTTCAATCACTCTAGCAGTTAAAGTAAAAATCAGGATCCAGGACTTGACAAAAACCAAATCAAATCAGATTCAAGGTGCCCTCCAATGATGAAACTTTGTCAGCCATTGGTTAAACAGTAAGTTGGGTAGTTACATCTTGCTATATGTACTTTCATTGAAATACCAAATTGCTTTTTGTTTTTTATCAATTAAAACTAGACCTAACTGGATTAAAAATGCAAACCTGTGATTTTGTAACATGCCAAGAATCATCCTCAGGTAAGAAAGCTGTATGGCCTCCTGATTGTCCTTTAGCTACAATTGTCACCTTAACATCATCTTATCATTTTCTATGAATTTTGTAAAATATTTACAGTAACCATTGGAAGCTAGTTGTTGGGATATTTCAGGACTATTATTATAATTATTTTGTAGTATTTCAAATTCCAGAACAATGTTATCATGACTATAAGGGGTCAAAACTTTCATCAACTAGCAGTAGCTAATGTTGGTCTCATTAAAATCAAATCATTCTTTGAAGGGATAGTGTGAACCTTCCTAAGGTTTTAATCATTAAACTGAAATAAACTGAACTGAAGAGCTCTAAGTTAAACTTGTTATGATTACAAGGTGCGTTTTTAAACATTAAAACTTTAAAGTTTTTAGGCTTAACAAAATTCTATCTTAAAATTGCATGCTGGACAAGTTTGTTTCTGTCAAAAAAGCTGAATTTTTACTCTTATCAAAGATATTGAACAAAACGATTTTTCAAAAAGGAAAACGAAAAACGATTTTCTAATCGTTTTGACAAATCGTTTTGGTCAATTTCTTTGATCAGAGTACAAATATTGCTTTGTGCAAAAATACCAAAATTTTCTAGCATACAATTTTGAAATAAAATTTGCATCTCAGATTCTTGTAAAACCTTTGAACAGTTTTTAAACTTTAAAAGTTTAAAAACGATGCCCTTGAGTAGTTTTGAACCCCAGTTATTCACCTTATGTATCGGCTGAGCATCCTCTGTAAAGTATGCTACAAGTGTATGTCCAGCTTCATGGTAGGCTGTTATCTCAAGATCAGACTTCTCACGCACCTAGTTCATTTCTAGTTATTGGGGCTGTTATTGTCAACAAATCTTTCTTCATAGGAAATTACAACCATTGACAAATCCACAACATTTTAGATCAAGATCCGCAAAATTATGCGGATTCACGGATTCAGATCTAAAGGGCAAAATTTACCAAATACTGCAAAAAAAACTTTTCTCCAGAGCGGATCCAAGATCCGGATCCGGATCTGAATTACAATTAAATGGATTCTAAGCACTGGGCAGTACAAACAATACTTCAGATATCATTAAAAAAGATTTTTTTTCAATTTTACATTATATGCTACTACTTACCAGATCACAACTAACTAACTTTTACAATGTTATAACAAATAACTGTAAGCTAAAAATTGTATTGTTAAGAATGGTAAATGGTTCAGAAAAATTAGTGAATAAAAGCAAAGACATTTTTTCGCATAAGAAATAAGTTGTAATCTCTTATCAACCAATAAAGTATTTTATTCCAACTTACCCTAGATTTCCAATCTGTTCCAAGAACATGTTTATCATGACTGTATTCAAACTCTGCCATGCTGACCCATTCTTTACCGTCTACAGCAGCTCTTATAGCTGCTGTGTTTACCATATTTTGCAAATCTGCTCCAGAAAATCCTGAAATATTTCTTTAATGTCATGTAAGTCTCTTAATAGTCAAAATTCTTATGAAACTGAAGCTTATGGTAATGCAAGACTTAACCAATTATTATTATTATTAAAGGACAACCCATCATTCAATGAAATAAGGGTCGGCGCTCCTAGCCACCGAAACGTATCCATGGACTGACCAAACTGGTCACCCTAGGGAGAAGACTTACACTAGGGGATCCGCCCAAGACAGCTCCATTTCTGGAGACTCTCTAAAATCCAACAGGTCCTTTCAATATTTGACATGCTTTTAAACAATTTATTTAATATCTGTTCACGTTTTTCTATTTTTCATTTTCTATTTCAAGGGTATTTTATAATTGCTTTTGATATTTAAGATCCCTTTTATATAAACATAAATAATACTTGAAGAGCATACCTACTGTCATTTTTGCTAGTTTCTCCAAGTTGACACTATCATCATGCTTGATCTTTGCGAGGTACAAAATCAAGATCTCTCTCCTACCCTTGATGTCAGGGTTAGTCACCATTACCTAAACGATAAACAGGTTTTCTTTAAAGAATGAACAGTGAACACAAACGACAAACAAAGGTCCAGATGAAAAGACTAGTAATCGGAAAAGTTGTGGAATCTACAAATCGTTGATAGAGATCAATCTCCAATACCACATTCAACTATATATTCCCCAATGCTTTCCTAAGATCAGATTACAATAGATAGTAAAGTGTCTCAAAAAAACTGCTGCCATGTGATTCACATTCTTTATGTCCACTCAGTCAAAAATAGTTTAAATTCTAGAACATATATTTCAGAGTATTCCAAAATATAATTAAGAGAAACAAGGCATTTTGTCTTTGTTAAATTTTAAATTTTGTTCAGACAGAGTTTGGACATATTTTGTTCAGACAGAGTTTGGACATAAAAGTTTAGGAAAAAATTCTTGGTTTTGGACGTCAAAATAGAGGTCAGTGACTTCAGATCCAAAAAGTCCTTGATCTGTAAAGTTGAAAAAATATTAAAAAAATAAATTTAAATTGCCCTTTTTCCCTTGATTAAATTTGAAAGACTAAAAATACTACATCTTTTAAATTTCTTTGAAGTTAAATTCTGACTCGATTGTCCATTGAGAAGGGGTATAGCATGGTGCATGTTGAATTGAAAAATTTTTTTCTCGAGCCACCCGGCCCTAACGACCTTTTGTTGGAACATTTTCATAGAAAGACATTTTATGAATGGGTGCTAGAGCCTTTTATTTCAAGATTGAAGATCGGTGAAGTAAATATCAGATAGAATCTAGAAATAAACATGCATATATGATTTATTAAATAAAAAAATAATAAATAACCTAATGTGCGTAAAGTTTGCTCTGTCCATGAAATGTCCTATCTATGAAATGTCATATCTATGAAATATCCCATCTTTGAAATGTCCAATCTACGAAATGTCTTTCTATAAAATGATCCAAGACCCTGTACAATCTATATTGGTTAAGTGAAACTGATCTATTGATCTACCTGAGTATCAAATCTACCAGGTCGTAGAAGAGCTTTGTCAAGATCTTCTGCTCTATTAGTAGCACCAAGAACTATCACTCCCTCATTAGACATAAAACCATCCATCTCACTGAAAAGGAAGCCTATTAAAATCATGATTTTGATCAATTTAAAAAAAAATTCTTTGAAATGGTTTGCAATTTATCACCTGAGTAATTGATTGATTGTTTGGTTAGCATAAGGATGAAGCGCAGAACTTGTTCGTTTTGATCCAACACTATCAATTTCATCAATAAATATCACACAAGGAGCTCTGGCCTTAGCAGCCTAAAATATTGGGATTTCAAAGGATTAAATAATGCGTTAAAAAGGCATATTTATAAATCACGATGCAGAAGAACCGTAGAAGTAAAAGCGTGTAATACTTTACAAAAAAATACAAAAAAAGGGACGAGACTTTAAAAGATGCACGCCGTGGGATTCTCTAGCTGCGACGCTCAGCCCCTTAGCCTGTCCTAGCCGCAGAGCTTTGCTCAGAAAGTGTCTTAACCTAACCTTACCTAACCCTAAAATATATACTAATCTCTCTCTTTCTTGGAATTCAACGCAGGAAGTTCACGTAGCTTCCTTGGGCAACTGCCTTTATATTAAACATCTAAAAGTGATTATTTAGAAATTACAGAAAAATTTAAAGTAAAATTCAATTTTTGTAGCTTGTTGCTAGTTATATTAAATATCGGAGTCAGGATTAGAACCCGGATCATGTTGATCTCAAGCATTAATAATGTTAAACCTTGAAAAGATCCCGAACTCTCCGTGCCCCCTGTCCAACAAGGACCTCGTCGAACTCGGATCCAGTAGCATGGAAGAAAGGGACTCCAGCCTGACCGGCCACAGCTCTATATAAGGGCATCATTAAAGGGACTGTTAGCGTAATTTCAATTGACAATTCATGCAAAATTGACAATGCCTGATTTACAATGGTATCCTTAAAGATTGGAATATAACGGCGTTTTTCTAAGTCGAAAAGTGTTAGATTCTGATAATTTGTTCATCGTTTCTTAAAAGTAAGAAATGCACAAGTCACGTTTACAAAAAACACAAACAAAAATAAACAGTATAATGAATATCTAATTCATACTTGATCAGACAAAGCTTTTAAGGGAACCTTTGTAACTCGGGCATTGTCATTTTTGCATTGAGGAATGAGGGTGGGTCACATGAAATTACGCTTACAGTCCTTATAGTTTTTATCAAATCATGTTGGTAAGAAGAATCATTATTTGCTTTAAAATCTAGAATACAAAACAAAACTTATAACGTGGATTTCATAATATTAAAAATGGTAGAAATCGAAAAGAAAATTAATTCTAAATAATATCTTGATGAAAAATATTTCTGTTTGAATTAAAACCTGGCGAGCAGAGTTTTCCCTGTTCCTGGTGGACCAACCAGCAAACATCCTTTAGGCAGCTTTCCTCCTGTACATAACAATTCATTATTATCCTCTTATACAATGTACATATCATTTCATTACTATCCTCTTGAACATAACTATTCATTACTATCCTCTTGAACATAACAATTATTCATTATTATCCTCATGTACAATGTGCATAGCTATTCATTAGTATAATCTTATATGGTGTACATAACTGTTTATTATTATCCTCTTGTACAATGTTAATAACTTTTCATTTTTCTCCTCCTGTACATAACAATCTATTATGATACTCCTGTACGTCTGTACATAACAATTCATAACTAACCTCTTGTACAATGTATATAACTTTTCATAATTTTTTTTCCGTACATTATCATTCACTTCTTTCCTCACATCAAACATCAATTACATGCCTCTACTCTAATTTTCCAATTTCTTAAGTTTTGCTACCACCAGAGATGATGTAAATCTTTGTAATATTTCAAAACTTATTCTAAAAAACTCAAAGTTTCAAATATCAAAGGTGTACAAAATCAGGTTGCGAAGATATTTTTTTTAGAAGTTTTTACTTTCAAACTTTAAAAAAATCTTATTTTGCTATGACATCTCGGGGGGGGGCAGTATTGTGCTTTTCCCCTTAAAAAAGATGACCCTTGGACTCACCAAGAATACTGAATTTGTCTGGATTAACCAAGAACTCAACAACCTCCTGCAACTCCCTCTTAGCCTCGTCGCAGCCCTTCACGTCCTCGAAGGTCACCTTCAATGACAAATAATGCTTAAAGGGACTTAAAGAGACTGTGAGCGTAATTTCAAATGAACCTCCATGCTAAGATGGCACTGCCGAATTTACAACGGTGCCCTTAAAAGCTTGTATGAATTAAATATTCATGTTTCTGTATCCTAAAACTGTTTCATTTCATTTGCGGTTTCTCAGCTAAAGTTTGCGCATTTCTTGCTTATAAGAAGCATTGGCGAAACTCGTGGAAATTAAGACTTTTTGAGCAAGAAAAACGATATTTCCTTTCAAATTTCTTATTTGATTAAGGTTTCAAGGTAGCATTGTTAACCGGGCATTGTAATCATTGCATCGAGGGTAACTTATGGTTAACAGTTACTTAGCTAAAGTTATCAAGAGATTTTTACAAAAGTGATTTAAAGATTTATCTCATAAAAGTGGAAGGAATTTGGCAGAATTATAATCCTTTCAAGATATAAAATTACACTAACTTCAATTACTCATCTCAGATAATAGTTTAAGGTTACTGTTGTAAATCAGGCATGTAACTCTTAAATAATGGGAAACTAAAAATTACAGTTAACAGTCCCTTAAAACTTTGAAGTAAAAATTTATATAAAACATTGTTGTTTTAAAAAAAAAGTTTTATAGTGACAATGAAACTCTTAGAAATGAATTGTTGAAGAAAAAAAACCTCCTCGACACTCAAGGTTTTAAATCTCTATCAGAAATATTTTTAGAAATTACTTGTTTCAAACCTTACCTCTATTTCCTCTGGAGAAATCTCGTTTCCTCCCTTAGTAATGTTCATGGAAACATTAAATACTTTGCTTAGAGATATCACCAGAGCTAAGGGGGCATAAACCTTCCATTTATTAGAAACCAGGGGGTTTAATCCTCCCTTGGTAATATTCATGGAAACATTAAATACTTTACTCAGAGATATCACCAGAGCTAAGGGGGCATACGCCTTTCATTTATTAGAAACCATGTGGTTTAATCCTCCCTTAGTAATATTCATGGAAACATTAAATACTTTACTCAGAGATATCACCAAAGCTAGGGGGGCATAAACCTTTCATTTATTAGAAACCAGGGGGTTTAATCCTCCCTTATTATCCCATGATAACAATAAATACTTTATTCAGAGATATCACCAGAGCTATTGGGGAATAAACCATAATAATTAGCATGATGCTTTTTAAAACTAGTAAAACTAAGGGGCACATAAAATTTAATTTTATCAGAAATCAGGAGGACACATTCATCAGTAAAACTAGCAGAGCTGGGGGGTGGGGGGAGGGCTAATTCTTTAATACTCCATAAAACTAGGGAAACTAAGAAGGATGAAAAAAAAAGATCTGAAAGCTTTCACATTAACATGAACCAGTTTAAACTTGAATAAAAAGGGACATTAATTAATTATGAACAAAAAATGAGCAAAGCTAAGAAGCGTATTTAACCCTTTTTTAATAATTTAACTAGAAGGATGTCCATTAAACTTGATTAGATTCAACATAGCTGTATAATTTGTATCTTGTAATACATTTTATCAGGGGTGTATAGAATTCAGAATTTTGATGATTTGGGGGAAAAAATGAAAAATTCTTTTTGATGCTTTTTACCCAAAAATTCATCGAGTTTCCATAATTCAGCAAATAAAACCAGAAAAAAGTGATTTTTCGAGAAAAAATGTACACCCCTGCATTTTAAATAGAATTTAAGAAAAGTTTAGCTTTCCTACGATGACGAGTAGGCTTGCAAGATTGTGAATTCTATTCCACTCAAACCATTTCTTCTTTTCTCCTTTTCCTGTCCCTCTCTCTCCTTCCCCATCCAGTCGGTCCTTCCCAGAGGAAAACCTGAAGGGGGGAAAATTTGAAACCTTGTTGATAAATTTTAATTGAAATTGACTTATTGATAGGAAAAATATCAATGTCTTTCTAGGAGGATTCCATTCTCTTAGAAAAGGATGTTATGTACTTTACCAAGCGGAAACTTATTAATTGTGCAATTTCCCAAGCTGCAAATTGTCACTTGGGAAATTGTCACTTGGAAAATTGTCACTTGGGAAATTGTCACTTGGGAAATTGTCACTTGGGAAATTGTAACTTGGGAAATTGTCAATTGGGAAACTGTCACTTGGGAAACTGTTATTTGGAAAATTATCACTTGGGAAATTATCATTTAGGAAATTGCCACTTGAGATTGAACATTTGGGAAGTAGTCACTTGGGAAATTGTCACTTGGGAAGTAGCCCTGTGGAAAAGGCCATTGGGAAAGTACCTAACACCTTGGAAAAGTACCTACCCGGCAGCGTAGGAGAGAAGGGCAATGTTGACCTTCTCCTTCTCTTTAGTCGGTAAATCTATATGCTTCAAGATATCATTCAGGGCCTCAGTCTTAAAGTAACAATAAAAATGTAAAGATCTGAAAGTTAACCCGATATGGAACCCCCAGAGCGCTCTCAGAATGCAGCGCATCACCTTGCGACCTGGAATCCATCCTGGCTTGAGCACAATAATGCACTAGAGATACAAGATCAGGAACCAGATTTAATAAATAACGAGAAGTAGCTGAACCGGGCAGACGTAGTTCAACAACTTTCATTATGCGTCAGTTCATGCTGGACTGAAGTAGTTGAACCATGCCTGCACAGTTCAACCATGTCTCGCTGATCACTAAATCTGAGGCCTCATTTAAAGAACTTGCACCGCGTAATTTAATAACCAATAACCGGTTCCCATTGATCGCCGACTCAAATCTCAAAAATACTTAAAATTTCCAGCTTAAAAGCACATGTTTGAACCGCGCGGTTCAAATTCTTTGAATTCGGCCTCTGGTCCCTGACGCTGCTTTAGAATTTAGTTTTGAGTCTAAATCCACAAGTCCCAATGTTAGACACGACTTGGAACGTTTTGTCGAAGTTTTTATTGGATTTACTTTAAGAAAAATTAGTCCAATGTAAAGGCTCGCGTCGTATATTTGTTTAATAATCCTATGGAAGAAAAACGTGCACTTATGAATAAAATAGGTGGAAAAAACCTTTGCTTTGATTCCAATTTTCATTTTTTCCCTTAGAGCATCAACCCCCCCCCCCCCCCCCCCCAATTTCAATGGTATTTGGGTTCCGGAACCTAGCTGTATTCCTGTCCGCAATTGTTTGATTAAATAAAACAAATATAAGTACCTGTAGTTTAGACCCTGAAGAAGTTTTCAGTGTTGTGAACGGTTTATCTGTAGTTGACTCGCTTCTTCTAGAAAATTCAAGAAAATTTTTTAAAATAGTTTTATTTGAATCGCTTCTTCTGAAAATTGAAGAAAATTGAAGAAATAGTTTGTTGAATCACTTCTTCTAGAAAATTGAAGAAATAGTTTTAGATGAATCGCTTCTTCTAGAAAATTTAAGAAAATTGAAAAAATAGTTTTATTTCAATCGCTTCTTCTAGAAAATTGAAGAAAATTTTAAAAAATAGTTATATTTGAATCGCTTCTTCTAGAAAATAGAAGAAAATTGAAGAAATAGTTTTAGTTTAATCGCTTCGTCTAGAAAATTGAAGAAAATTGAAGAAATAGTTTGTTGAATCACTTCTTCTAGAAAATTGAAGAACTAGTTTTAGATGAATCGCTTCTTCTAGAAAATTTAAGAAAATTGAAAAAATAGTTTTATTTAAATCGCTTCTTCTAGAAAATTGAAGAAAATTGAAAAAATAGTTTTTTTTAAATCGTTTCTTCTAGAAAATTTAAGAAAATTTTTAAAAAATAGTTTTATTTGAATCGCTTCTTCTAGAAAATTGAAGAAATTGAAGAAATACTTTCAGTTGAATCGCTACTTCTAGAAAATTGACGAAAATTGAAGAAATAGTTTTAGTTGAATCGCTTCTTCTAGAAAATTGAAGAAATAGTTTTAGATGAATTGCTTCTTCCAGAAAATTTAAGAAAATAGTTGAAAAGGCCCAAGAAACATTTATTATCTTTAAAAACATCATTTTCCTTCAAATGTACAACAGTTTACGATGAATTGAGTGAAACAACAAATTTTTAGGGTAAAATCAGTTAGGAAAAGGGGGGGGGAGAACTTGCCATTTGATGTCCAATTTTAAATTGGTTTCCCTCAAATCTTTCAAAATAATTTTTCAAAACAACACCCCAGTCGTTGTATCAACAAAAATTGAACATAACAGAAGTTTCTTCGATTATTTTGAACCCTCTTTAAAAGCGCGCGTAGAAAGAAAGTATAAAGGGAAGAAAACAAATAAATGTCTTATATACTTGGTTTTGAACCCCCTGGCAGTGGTGAGGAAAGGGCTGGAGTTGGATCCAGAAGGAACTATACCATGGAAAGGTGTATTTCCTAGCAATGTTTTATCTAAACATTAAGGCAATCAATGAATCAATCAATCATTAGCAATATTTCAATATATCAATCAATGGCAATATATCAATATATCAATCAATAGCAATATATCAATATATCAATCAATGGCAATATATTAATATATCAATCAATGGCAATATATCAATATATCAATCAATAACAATATATCAATATATCAATCAATAGCAATATATCAATATATCAATCAATAGCTTTATATTAATACATCAATCAATAGCAATATATTTAATATGATCAATATATTAATTTATCAATTTATCAATAATTCAATACTAAACCAATAACCTAATCAATCAATATATTTATCAATTAATTTATAATTAAATCAATCAATGATTAATAAATCAATTTTTGAACAAATATATTTAAATGTTTCAATCACTAGTTTAGTCAATTTTTTATCAATTCATGAACATATCAATATATCAACTAAATATCAACCAATTATCAACCAAATACCAACCAATAAATTAACCAGTCATTCAATCAATCAATCAATCTATCATTCACTGAATTAATTCATTTAACAATCAATCCATCAGAAAAATTCATCAACCTTGAGTTTAAAATAAAAAAGTTTACTTTGTGTTTTCTGTAAGATAGAGTATGCTACCCCTATGTTCTCTTCTAAGCTCGGTATCTGTATAAATGTAATATTAAAAAATCATATTTGTTTATTTTCAACTTTTTTTCCACTATGTTTAAGAATTTTTCATATATTTAGTTGTAAAATATTGACGTTCACGTCATCTAGACAAATGTTCATAGTTCATAAATAATTTGCGATTCTTTCCGTAATTTGATTTTACAACAACAACAAAATCAGACTTTACGGTGCGAGAACTATTTAAATACTTCAAGTTCAATATTACTTGGTCTTACACTTTGTATCGAATCAATTCATTTTTAAGACATTTTTTTAATTTTGATTTCACAATATTTAATAAGTAGATTCACCGGTAATTAAGTATTTAAGTATAGACCGGTATTTCTTGATAGAGACTTAAATGGACTATAAGCGTAATTTTAAGTGACTCTCTTTAAAGTGTTTAATTTTGATCATTCCTATGTTTTTTCTCGCTGTAGATATGCCTTTAAAGAGAAACCACAATTGAAAATGATCAGTTTTCGAAATTATAAATTAATATATTTTCATACTTGTTGTGAATCGAACATTATGGAGTGTCACTTAAAATTAAAATTACAGTCCTTTTGATACATTTTTTTAAAAGAAAATAAAGACTGTCCTTCCGGTAATAACATAACTTATTAAAAATTACAATATTCCTTGGTTAAATTTCTAGATTTCAGCACAGTATTCAACTCTGCTGCAGTTTTCTGCGTAAGCACCTAGAACACAGACATATTTATATTTTGTTTAATAATATTCATAATAACTTGCATCAAAGAGATTGTTCAGCTATTTAGATATTGTTAGAAGTACAGGGTTACCCACAAAGAATGATACTATAAAGACGACCTATGAAAATATGACTATTCCAAGAATAATTTAAGTCTTCTGTTTAAAAATAATCTTTTACTTGCTTCTATGTATATACTTAGCTTGTCTGCTTGTCTGTCCATTTGTATCCAATAAAAGTCAAAACGGCTAAACTGATCGTACCCAAATTGTGTGGGACCTAACATGAACCCAGGGGAGGTTTCTGATTGATCAAAATTTGCCTCCAAAAGATTCAATTTCCTTAAAATTTTGAAAATCCACGGATTTTTTCAGAAAATCCGCAAACTTTTTTCGTTTTTGTTTTACAATTTTTACAAAAAGAAAATGTTCACAATTTAAATAGAAGATGGGCGCAAAGCGCCCTTAAAGTCTAGCTTTATAAAATATAAAAGAAAGAAACAAGTTTACAGTTGCAGAGAATCATAAATATCAGGAAATAGACAGGATAAATTCTTTAAGGTCATTTCTGAAGTCTCATCCATTGTGGGTAACCCTGTACTAACTATTGAACAAAGAATTCTAAAATATCGTCTTTTCAAATTTCAAAATTCAAAAAAGATTTTTAAAAATGAGTTTTTAAGTTTTTTATTTTTTTGCGTTTTTTGCTGTTAATTTTTATGATTTCTTTTCATAAAGTCGACATAACCAGAAAACCCCGGAATTTATTGACAGTTATTTAGACGACTTAACATATTATAGATCTCTGGTAATATTAAACGCAAAATAAAGGCAAAACACATTTTGGAATTAACAGGACTAGGGCTATTGTGTCAGTATCGTTTTATTTATCATATTTGTAAAATTAGATTGCAAAGTCGTTTGATTAATTATAAATCAATTCCGAGTCTTTCTGGTCATGACTGTTTTTTTTTGCGAAGTGCTAAATATATGTAAGTGTCACCTTTATTTCTTCCTGAGATAGACATTCAATTCGTCTAATTGTCTCCATCAGGCTTGCATCACAGGCAGAAGACACGCTAGGCCTAAAGGAGATGTTAAAATTTCATAATTGGCCTTAATGGGATTGTCTAAGGTTGATCAATATTGGAACTAAGCCAACTGTCCACCGGGGGTTGCTGCGTTTTTACATAAAAAAATTGAAATAAAAAAATTCAAAATCGCCCATACGGTTGCGAATTGACGATTTCATACCGGAGGAATCATCGTAAATCCCCCCAAAATAATATTTTGAATAATTTGATGCTATAATTCACTTTCCTGGAATTATGCTAAATTCAAATCTGAAAAGTTATTGCCAAATAACGGTCCAAAAATCCCTTATTTAAGTTTTTATTGAGTTTCTCTAACTCATTTAATTTTCATTTTTTAGCGCTTTTCATATTTGATTTCAGAACATCAAGTTTTAAAAAAAATTATGTATAATATGAAATTTTTCAAAATATTTTTTTGAAGGGTAATTTCTCCTATATTAAATCGTCAATTCTTAACTGCATGGATAATTTTAAATTTTTTTATTGTAATAATTTCTTTTAAGTGAAAACGCAGAAACCTCAGGTGGGGGGGGGTAGCTGAATTCTAAAAAAAGTCACAAATTAATCCCCTTTACAGCTTCCTCTTCATTTTAAAGTTACTGTAAGCGTAATTTTTAATGTACGTCTCACCTAGTTCTGTAGGAAGCCCTGGACCCTAACAGATTGTTAGCCTGGGGCAAACCTAAATAGGAAAAATATTTTTTTAAATATAAATGGAAGCTCTGCTGGTGACGCTTAAGTCAAGGACGTTCATTATCAAGATCACACTTTTATTAAACAAAACTTCTCGTGAGTGCCGATGGGTGGGATTGCCTGGGGCCAGCGATTCTCTTAAAATAAATAAATATATTCAGGTCCCCTAGGAAGTCACACCCATCAGACCCCGAACGATACGTGAACATTGAACAACCACGCCTGGGGTCGTCTGTTTGAAATACCGCTTAGGACATGTTCTATTACTGAACCCTGGATGTAAGCGTACCGGGTGTTGGGGTTTTCGGGAACTTGGGTGAGCCGAGTCCCAAGGTTTACCTCCACCAATATATAGTATTATAAGAATAAGAATAATTATAAGATCTGAAAGGGAACCCGACATGGAACCCCCAGACCGCCCTCATGGTGCAGAGCATCAACATGCAGTCTGCAGCCTGGAATCCATCCAGGCTATCACACAATGTTTAACGCCCGTGTGATAGTGATACATTCCTAGTGGCTGGCAGCCCGAAGGCCAGTTGCGTATCAAGCAACCACCCATAACGGTAACCCAAGTGCAGGCCCGTGGAATAAGGCCAGCCGGTCTACCTATACTAGTATATAAATGACGAAAGGTTAAACAACCTAGGGTCAAAAACGAGACCAAGGTTAAAACGACAAATTTTTTTTTCAGAGAGAAGGCGATGAATTAAGAAAAATACATCTTCTTATAAGTTCAGTTTTAGCTTTCCTCATAAGTGGAATGAGTTAAACTGAAACTGATAAAAGAGAAATGAACGAAATTAATGATATTAATATTATTTTTATTATTATTAATAAAGGGTATGAGATACAGGAGAAAGTTTATGTTTGTCTCACCTGACGTTATCAGGTTAGAGTAGGTGAAACTTAACATTTTAAATCTGAAATTTTAGAATTTTTAATGTTCATGAGCTGGCTTACTTAGAATGATTTTTTCCAGTATTGTTAAAACTGGCTGACTTGATAGTCCGCCATTTATAAAATGGCTGCCACATCTTCAAACTTCTTTGCTCTGATTTTGTTCTGCCCATAGTCCCTGATGCACCAAAATCTCATTAATTTCTGCGCGTTCAAAATATGATTTGAACCATAAGATGGTTTTCTTCTTATACTCTACTGAGGCGTAGGGGTTCTTTGACAATCCGACACAGATAAGCTCCATAAAATGTCTGAAATAATAAAAATAAACTCCATAAACTGCCCAACATAATTGTATTTATAAATTTGCAATAAGTTCTTCATAAAGGGAAAGAAATGACTTAATTGAAAATAAATAGCTCCCTTAAATTATATTATCAGCAAAAATGTACTTCAATTAAGTTATCCTCTCCATAACTATTTATTTCATTTATTTTTCGTAAAATATTGACTTAACAATGGAAAAAACATTTAAAAACCTGATTGGACCGGAAGCTGGGCACCAGGGCTGTAGATGTTGAGTTAAAAATACATGATGATGAAACTTTTCTTCGGCATATTCAAGATCCTAAATAATTTGTGAAATCAAAAACTAAATCAAATAAAATCAAATTTTAAAGATTAATCTTGGATAGGTACTTTGATATTCCATTCAAAGCGCCAAGATCTTTCTTCAAGAATTTATTTTAAAAGAATAAAAAGGTAATTTTTAGTAATTTATCGTGCTAGATGTAAAGTTTTTTTTTCAACGGTTAAGAATCAAACGACCCCTTAAATCCTAAAGTTAGTAAATGGTTAATCCTTCGTTCTCTTTTATTTTACGTAACCATTCCCTTTAAAATTTCGAGGATAACCTTTAATTAATGAATACCTGCTCATTATCTATAGGAAATTTCCAAAGTTTTCCTTGTTCTGTCCATAGGATATGTTCTTCAAGGGCGTTCCGGGGGGATGGAGTTCCCAGTAGCTCAAGCTCTCTAATCAATCAATCAATCAATCAATCAATCAATCAATCAAACAACTAAACAACTAATAAATTAATCAGAAATTAATTAAATAATTTACAAAAAAATCAATCAATCATAAATCATTTAATTTACAAACACTCAATCAAAAAACAAACAAGGTAACCAAATTGATTTTTATATCGTCAAAAACACTGACCTCTGCACACATTTCCTCCACGTTGTCAATACTTCTTGAGGCTCTGCGGAGGCTGGCAGAGGCTCAGTAAATATTCCTAAAGGCTGGCCTCCGAATATGTCCTTCGGGACATAACTGGCCTCATCGCTGAAAGAAAGCAAATAAAACTTAAACATTAGCACAGTTCCCACAGGTCAAAAGGAGAATGATTATGAAGTCAAAAAACTTTAAAGGTGGGAGAAATTATTAAATTGCGTTTTGCTTACAGAATTCCCTTTCTACTTTTTACCAGGAGTTTTGTTAAACCTCCAGTTCTAATCATAGATTTACCTGTCTCCAGTTCTAATCATAGATTTACCTGTCTCCAGTTTGAATACCATAAACCATTCAAATTCGTTAAAAATGTAAAATGATATTTTCCTTCAAGTTTAATTCCTTCCAGAGCATTTTTCATCTTGCCAACTTTTTTAACTTGATTTACAGAACCTCCTAAAGAAGATGTTGTGAACTCCTGACTTTAAAATAATTATAACATCTAATTTTATGTCTCTACTTTACAATTAGTAAAGGACTTGACAAGACTTGGTACCTCAAAATTACAATGTGTCCCAAAAAAAACTTTTAAAAGAAAAAAGTGAAATACAGGGTGCCCCAAAAAACCTGTACTGGATCGAATGGTGTAAACTAGAGCCTTCCATCATTCTTGGAGTTTTCAATCAAGTTTAAAGGGTTGGAATTCTTCATTCATTCTATCATCCATTTTTTGTAGATATCAAAAGTGTCCAAAATCGTCAATATTGGTCCAAAATTGAGGCTCTACACTTCAAAAAAATGTTGGGACACATTGTAATTATTTTGTAAAATAAAAGCTGAAAGTGTAATAATGTTGAATGGCCCTCGCCAAAACAAGTTAAAAATTCAGTTTTTTACCTTGGTTTGGTTTGGCAAGTTTTGGTTCCTTTGCTGGTGCTTTCCCTGCTTTAGATTGGATGGCAGAAAGAAGAGAAGAAAGTTTTTTTCTTCCTTTTTCACTTTCAGATTCATCTGTGCTGAACGCGACCACTCGAATCTAGAAAAAATTTCTTTTAAAATGTTTGTTTCATTTTGGTTTCCGACTATATTTCAGACAGTTCAGACTCTTGAAAGATTCCTAGATATAAAAAGCCAAAAGAGAAAAAAAATGGCGCCGTGTCAAAGTGGCTAGTCTTTTTTTTACTATATAGTCATTAGTCATCTGGGGTAATGTTAGGCTTTCTGTTGCGTCACAGGTTCAAACTTGCTTAATTTCTTTTCATATAACCAAAAGTGCAACAATTAAACAATCTGTAACCTGTGATTGTCGTAAAAAAGATGAGAGAGCAGAAACTGATCTATGACGAAGCATTGTTTTCCACTTTTTTCTCTGAAATCTTAAATTCAAGTAATTACCGTTAGTACAATACTGTCTGCTGTACTGTACTGCAATTAAACAGTAGTACAACATACAAACATTATTCTGTACATCGTCTACGTTCACTGTACAGTGCACAGTGTACACACGCATTAATTTTATAATTTTCAATTGAGGAAACATTTCATCCAAACTTTGTACTTTGATTTGAACAAGTTAAAGCTATTTCATAAAAAAATGAATTGCATATTTTTCTGTGCTTAAACAAACGTTAAGTGTAAAATTTCGTTTATGAAACTTAATCCTTCTCCTAAAATTATCATAAAACTATCATTTTTTAATTAAGTTTTAATTTTGTTACAAAGCACAGCTTTGTAAGTTTTAGTCTCGATTTTTATTGAAAATAAATGACATGAAAAATACATTATGACGAAAAAAGTTAATTTAGGAGATCTTATTCACTTGGTTAATGTTTTCAAGATTTTACAATTTAGCTACTATGTCCAATTACTTTAGAATTCTTCCTTATTTACAATATTAAAAATAGAAATTAAATGCCCCCTTGTATGTTAAGAGTTCTTCCAATCAGAGTTGAGTTCTATGAAACCATGGCTGGAAAGAATGTAGGAACAGGGGTGTATATTTTCAAGATTATTGATGCTCCGGGAAAATAAAATGAAAAGTTTGGCGTCAAAAAGGCACGTTTTTTCCCCCATTTTTGTTTTCCCAAATCAGCGAATAAAACCCGGAAAAAACTTCTATGGGGAATAAGATTTTAAAATGATTTTTTAAAGAAAGTATCCACCCCTGGATAGAGCAGATTTATCCGAGTTGGAAAGGTTGGCTGGGGTAGAGCAGGACCTCACCGTCCTGTGTCGTCAAACTTTGTAGCTGGCTAGCGGTCATCACCTGCAGAATGTTCATGAAATTTTTAATAAAATACATTTATTATTCCGAAAATGTTTCAAATTTTCCAAATGCGAAAGCTACACGAAAACATTTCAAATAAGTCAAAAAAAAGTTGGAAAAATAATAGAAAAATATTTGAGATGAAAATTTCATGAATAAATGTTTCGTTTGAAAGAAATTTCTTTTCAACAGTTTTTTGGACAAAATTAATTGCAGGCTTTACTCTTTAACTATGAAAAAAATTAATATAAGATACTTACTTGGTTTAGATACAACATAGATATGTTTAAGTTTGGTTAAAAAGACATTGATACAAGTTTCCTACCTCTGTTCCAAGATTACTGAGCTCTGCTTCTATCTGTCTCTCACCCTTCATCGCCTCCCTTTAATCAACCCATATCTTTTATCAAGTATTATTTTACTAAATCAATCAATATCTCAATAAATCACTCAATTAATCAATAACTCAATCAATCAATAGCTCAATAAATAACTCAATTAATAACTCAATATATATGACTCAATAAATAACTTAATAAATCAATAATTAAGCACTAAATTAATCAATAACTCAATCAATCAATAAATAGCTCAATAAATAACTCTATTAATAACTCAATATAAAACTTAATAAATAACTTGATAAATCAATAAATTAATCACTAAATTAATCAATAACTCAATCAATCAATAACTGAATCAATCAATAACTCTATCAATCAATAACTGAATCAATAACTCAATCAATAACTCAATCAACAACTCAATCAACAACTCCGTCAATATTTCAATCAATAACTCAATCAATAATTCAATCAATAACTTAATCAGAAACTCAATCAATAACTTAATCAGTAATTCAATCAGTAACTCAATCAATAACTCAATCAATAACTCAATCAATAACTCAATCAATAACTCAATCAATAACTTAATCACTAACTCAATCAATAACTTAATCAGTAATTCAATCAGTAACTCAATCAATAACTTAATCATTAACTCAATCAATAAATAAATCAATAAAGAAATCAATAAATTAATCAATAAATTAATCACTAAAAAAAAATTTTTTTTTAAACAATAAACCATAGTTCAAATAACTAAATCAATGACTCAATCTGTCAGTTAAACAAACAATAACTAAATCAATAAAGCAATCAATAAATTAATCAATAAATTAATTAATCAATAAATTAATTAATCAATTAATCAATAAATCAATCAAAAAATAATTAAAACAATCAAAAAAAAATCGATAAAAATCAATATAACAATAAATGACTAAATTAATAAAGCAATCAATATAACAATTCATAAAACAATCGATAAATCATGTAATAAATCAATCGCTAAATCAGTCAATCACTAAATATAGATATGAATATTCCTATATTTCTGCAGGTACAGTTTGAGTGGTTCAACATAGTTGTCGAATCCCAGGGAGGACATTGCGAACAGGATATCCTCACCATTGATCGTCTTACGCTTCTCTGCCTTTATAGTGCATAGATTAGTGATAAGAAACATTTATCCAATATCTATTTATTATGCTCTATTTAATCTATGATGGCCCGAGATCTTTTCATTGATAAGTTTACCATAGTCGCAGAATTTAATTCAGTGTAAATATTATGATGTCAATAGCGGATTTAAGACTTGATGATTTGCGGATTAGAGACTTTAGGTCCCGTCATCTTTAGAGTTTTCCCATTTGATATCGAGTTCAGCCTAATTTCAATCAAAAAATTCACCACTCAGATATAAAAGTAATTAACCATATAAAATGTTCAGTAAGTTATATTCATCTAACAAAAATATGATATAGATTGATGTACAATGTGTTTGAGAAGATTTAGTATAAAAAGCTGTTTCTGTTTTTAATTATAGCAGTATTGAATAACCATTGCTCTCACTCCGTTAAAATATCGTTAGGAACTCAAAAAAAATAGTTTAAAATGTTCACAATTCACTAACAAGTCACCAAACTTCGAAGAAATCGCATTTATCGCTTACACCTCGTTAAATCCCTTTAACCACAAAAATATCGTTAAAATATCCGGTATATTCCTAGAGAACGATTTTTGGCCCCCCCCCCCCTCCTATCAATTTTTACATGGATCTTACAGAAAGTGTCTCAACTTAACCTAACCCGTGGCCGCAGCGCTCGGCCCCCTAGCCCATCCTAGCCGCAGCGCTCAGCCCAGAAAGTGTCTTAACTAACCTAACCCGCTCGGCCCCCTGGCCCATCCTAGCCGCAGCGCTCGGCCCAGAAAGTGTCTTAACCTAACCTAACCCTAAATAATAATAAATAAATACTAATTTACTAATTTAGTCATGTACAAAATTGATAGGAGGGGGGGCCGGGGGGGGGGTCCAAAAATCGTTCACTAGGACAGACCCAAATCTCCAAACAAACCTGGCATCTCTCACTAGCTTCACTCGTGATGAAGGATATAAACTCAGAAACGCACTCCTGGAAGCCAAACCAAAATAAATAAACGATTTTGAAGAAAAACTGCAAAATGGAGCTTGTTTAAATATCAATTATGAACAAGCTTTACTTTCAAATTAGTCAACCAAGTATTTGTTATAGATTTACGGGTAGGAATATTTCATTTAACCAAAAAGAATTAGGTTTGACTTATTTTGTGATTACAAAGAAATTCTTAATATATTTTGTGGAAGTTGTGGCGTTTGTAAAATTGGCAAGAAATAAATATTGAATAAAAGATATTTAATCTATATTTACGAAATCGAAATTTTAATATATTTTTTATCTTATTGTATTTGCTTATGTTCCTGAACACACTCTCTCGCCTCCTTGGCCACCTTGCCGGCAGGAGGGACCACCTTCTTCATCACCTAGTTTTAACAATAGATTAGATTCAGAGGTGCAACTTGGAGAGTAAACGGGGGGGAGGGGGGCAACCTTCTTCATCGTCAAGTTTTAACAATAGATGCATGGACTCAACTAGGAGAGTAGAGGAGGGAGACTACCTTCATCATCACCTAGCTTTAACAATTAGGAGGGGGTATATAAGCCTCAAATGGGGGCAACTAGGAGAAAGAAGATTCCGAGGCGCAATTAGCAGAAGAAAGAAGGGGTCTACATTTTTTATAAAAAAACCTAATAAAATAGTTTTGACCTAATTCTTTAAAAAAAACCGACAATTCTTAACATGATGATAACTGAAGTGTCTACTAAGCGTACTACATAGATAGCTTCAGCATGAGTTTTATGTTGATAAACGGTTTTGTTTAAAAAATACCTTGGAGATATTGTAAATCGGTAAGAACCTGTCCTGCTCCCTTAGTTCCCCTTCTCTTGGACTATCATCATCCTATTTTTCAAAAGGTAAATTGTGAAATTTGATGAAGGGGGAGGGTGGACTAACATCTAAATATTAATTTTACGTTGCTTGTAATAAAATCTGTAGTTAGCCAAAAAAAATATTATTTGAATGTCTCTAGTAACCTTTCTATTGAAACCTTTCCTACATGCAAATTTTTTATAAAGCTATCATTGGGTGTCCAACTGAAAATTAATTGCTTCCAATTGAGGATACTAATAAAGGAACTTAAATATTTACGCAACAAGCAGACTCAAGAGAAAATTGTAAGAATTTAACACATTTAAAGTTAATAAAACCACAGTATCTTCATCGTAGTGGCTAACATCATGATTAAAGCTATAAAATGAGACAGGGGTTTCTATGAAATTACTTCTGTGAAAACTATTAATAATAAGAATACATACATCCTCCTCTCTCTGTTGAATGATGTATTGTCCAGACTCTAAGAACTTATCGTCGCCCATCTTTCTGAGGAGTAAAAATCTTAAGTTTATTTATCAAACGTACAGGGTTACCCACAAAGTATGCGACTTTAATAAACACATAAAATGCCTTTTGTAATATATAAATAAATATGATTTTGTTTAAAATAGTTGAAATTTAGGTCATTTACAAAATTGATGGAAGGGGGTGGGGGACGGGGGAGGGTGTTCAAAATTGTTCTGCAGGGCAGACTCTATGGTAAAATGATGAAGACACGTCTACATTTTACTAATCTTATTTAAGCTGTAATTATTTAAATAACTTTAGAGTTTCATCATCATTGTAAAAATTTGTAGTTTTGTAAATAATACATAGAACGCGGCAATGTCTTGGTTTCGCGCTTTGGCTTTATCTTTCTGCGGAGAGAAGCTTCAATACAGCTGTTCATCTTTCTGCTGTTAGGAACATGAATAAAAACAAGAATAAAAGCTTGGTTGGCAACACATGAATAGAATGTACTTTTAAAGTAATATAACAACACGTATTTTAATTGTTTTTGTGTTAGTCAAAGATAAAAGATGACCTGAGGGGGGGAGGGGGATGAGGGCCGCCTGGAAATGTCATATGCATGTCACGTTCAGGAGTGAATATTGCGGCTGCCACGGAAGGGGGGCTCCCCCCCCCCCCCCCCGGCTATATTTGAAAATAATGGATTCGATGGGTTGGCTGGAGCCCAGGATCTATTACAATTAACAACTACCTCGAAAACAACAAAACAGAATTTCTTGCATTTATGAATTATAGCTGCAGTTGTATTCGACACTTCCAAAGAACAAACAACCGTTGGACGGACTTTGCTCTAGTATCCTATTATCCCGGAAACTACATAGTATACTGTATAAACCCCTGTGAACCAGACCCCCCATTATCCCCTAAAAGACTATATCCTAAATCCTGGAAACTATACTCACTATCTATAAACACCCCTGGCCCAGCCTCCTCCCCTGGAAACTATCTAAGTATCTACAACCCTGACGTCCCCCTCCCCTGGAAACTATCTAACTATCTACACCTCTGAAATCCCCCTCCCTTGGAATCTATCTATCTATCTATCTAAACCCCTGGCGTCCTCCTCCCCAGGAAACTATCTAACTATCCTCAACCCTAGCATCCCCCTCCCCTGGAAACTATAATCTAACTATCTACATTCCTGACATCCCCCTCCCCTGGAAACTATCTAACTATCTACACCCCTGACATCCCCCTCCCCTGGAAAACATTTCAACTATCTAAACCCTCAGCATGTGGTGCCTCCAGGTCTGGCCTGTATAGGGAGTAAAATATTAGTCACAAATCTTAATTCTCAATTCTCATTCAGACTCCAAGCAGTCTCACTCTCACACTCACAGTCACAGGCAGTCTCTGTCTATCATTGCATGTGCGAGACGGGGTGTACGTATACAGGCATAACCGCTTGTAATATGTGTTTTGAGGCTGTAGCAATAGTGATTTTTAGATTTAAGTGATAAATGAATTATCTAATAATTAAAGATATCTTTTTCACTCATTACAATATGAAAAAGTACGATAGTTTATGGAATAAAATAAAAAGAAGTAGTAAGAATATTTATGATAAGAATGATAATTGTAATAATTATAAT